CCTTAGGCTTCCGGTTGGAGGTGGGGAATGCTATGAGATAATTAACAGCTCCCAGGCGCTCCTGGACCGTGAATGGCCCTTCCCACGATGCTTCCATTTTATGGGCCTGGAGCGCCCTTAAGACCATGACCTGGTCTCCTACTTTGAAGGAACGCTCTCTGGCATGTTTATCATACCAGGCTTTTTGCTCTTTTTGAGCATCCTGTAAGTTTTCTCTAGCAAGGGCTAAAGAGGTTCGGAGGGTGTTTTGTAGGTTGGTTACAAAGTCCAGAATGTTAGTTCCTGGAGAAGGTGTAAATCCCTCCCATTGCTGCTTCACCAACTGCAATGGCCCCTTAACCTCACGGCCATATACAAGTTCAAATGGGGAAAACCCTAAACTGGGATGTAGGCAAAGAGCAACTGCTGCAACACTAGGTCCCAATCATTGGAGTGCTCATTTACAAATTTACGTATCATGGCCCCCAAAGTTCCATTAAACTTCTCCACCATGCCATTTGTTTGATGGTGGTAAGGAGTGGCAACCAAGTGATTTACCCCATGAGCTTCCCAAAGGTTTTTCATAGTTCCTGCCAGGAAATTAGTCCCTGCATCTGTGAGGATGTCGGAGGGCCAACCTACCCTGGCAAAAATGTCTGCTAGTGCCTGGCACACACTTTTAGCCCTGGTGTTGCTTAGAGCTACTGCTTCCGGCCATCGGGTGGCAAAATCCATGAAAGTCAGTATGTACTGCTTTCCTCTGGGTGTCTTTTTCGGAAAAGGACCCAGAATATCCACAGCTACTCGCTGAAATGGAACTTCAATGATGGGGAGTGGCTGGAGAGGGGCTTTGACCTGGTCTTGGGGTTTTCCCACTCTTTGGCACACCTCACAAGACTGGACATAGGTAGAAACATCCTTGCCCATTCCCTCCCAGTGGAATGATCCCCCCAAACGGTCTTTGGTCCTGTTCACCCCAGCATGGCCACTAGGGTGATCATGGGCTAAGCTCAAGAGCTTGGCCCGGTATTTAGTTGGAACTACCAACTGTCTCTGAGGATGCCAGTCTTCCTGGTGTCCACCAGAAAGAGTTTCCTTGTATAAAAGTCCTCTTTCTACAACAAACCTGGATCGATTAGAAGAGCTGAGAGGCGGTGGGTTGCTCCGTGCCGCCGTCCAAGCTCTCTGGAGGCTTTCATCTGCTTCCTGTTCGGTCTGGAACTGTTCCCTTGATGCTGGGGACATCAGTTCCTCATTGGATTGTGGACCTAGGCTTGGTCCCTCTGGAAGCGATATAGGGGATGGAGCTGTTTCTGTTGACTGTGAACCGCTCTCCGCTGGTGCACTATGTTGGGATTCAGGCTCCGGCTGAGCCTCTTGTGTAGGGTTATCGGCTGCTGCCAGTTCAGGTTCAGTGGGGCCCTCTGGTGTTGAGGTTGCAAGTACTGGATTCAGGGCTGGCACGGGGTCTGGTGTTGGTTGTTTGGCTGGTTCCGGTTCTGGGACTGGTTCCGTCTGGGTCTCTGGGACTGGATCCACTACTGCTGTTGCAGACATTGGCATGGAGTCCGGGTCCATCACCTCTGACTGGGTCCTGATAGAAGTTTCCGGAACAGAGCTAGGCCTCACGGCTTGTTTAGCCTGGCTGCGGGTGACCATTCCCACCCTCTTGGCCTGCTTCACATGATTGGCCAAGTCTTCCCCCAACAGCATGGGGATGGGATAATCATCATAGACTGCAAAAGTCCACATTCCTGACCAGCCCTTGTACTGGACAGGCAACTTGGCTGTAGGCAAATTGAAAGAGTTGGACTTGAAGGGTTGAATCGTCACTTGGATCTCTGGGTTGATTAAATTGGGGTCCACTAAGCATGGATAGCTGACACTTGTGCTCCGGTGTCCCTCCACGCGGTGACCTTCTTCCCGCCCACACTCACAGTTTCCCTCCGCTCCAAGGGTATCTGGGAGGTATCTGGGCCTGTGGACCTCTGGTGTGATTCCGGTGCAATGAACTGTAATCTGTTGGGGTTCTTGGGGCAGTTGGCCTTTACATGCCCCAGCTCGTTACACTTAAAACATCGTCCAGCTGACGGGTCACTGGGGCGAGGAGGGTTGCTGGAGAACGGGGTGGTGGGACGATAAGGGGTCTGGAGGGTTCTTTGGGAGGTAGGTGGGGCTTTGGGCGGCCCCCGGTAATAGGGTGTGGTCTGGGGTGGTCCCTTCTGGTCTCCGCTCCAACTGCGACCAGTTTTCTTCTTCTTCTGCCACCTCCACCCATCTGGCTCCAATCTCTCCTGCCTCGATTACAGTTTTGGGTTTCCCATCTAGGATGTATCTTTCTATTTCCTCAGGAACACCCTCTAAGAATTGTTCCATTTGCATTAGGAAGGGCAAATTTACTGGAGATTCAACACTTGCTCCTGATATCCAGGCATCCCAATGTTTCACAATGTGGTAGGCATGTCGGGTAAATGACATGTCTGGTTTCCACCTTAGGGCTCTGAACCTCCGACGAGACTGCTCGGGTGTTATCCCCATTCTGACTCTCGCCTTGGATTTAAACAGTTCATACTTGTTCATGTGTTCTTTAGGCATTTCAGCTGCCACCTCAGCTAAGGGTCCACTGAGCTGCGGCCTCAGCTCTACCATGTATTGGTCAGTAGAGATGTTGTACCCAAGGCAGGCCCTTTCGAAGTTTTCTAGGAAGGCCTCAGTATCATCGCCTGCCTTGTAGGTGGGGAACTTTCTGGGATGGGAAGTGGTACTTGGAGAAGGATTACTAGGGTTTGTTGGGATATTCTGCTGAGCCTTTATCTTCTCCATCTCCTCCACATACTTCCTCTCTTTTTCCTTCTCCTCCAGTTCTTTGTCCCTCGCTTCCATAGCTCTCCTGTGAGCAGCCGCTTGGTGTTGTTCGAGGTCTATCCCTGGTCTATCCCCGGCGAAGACGACTACAGACAGACCCAGACCCTTTGTTTCTCTCCCTCCTCCCAGCTTTTGAAAGTATCTTGTCTCCTCATTGGTCATTTTGGTCAGGTGCCAGCGAGGTTACCTTTAGCTTCTTAACCCTTTACAGGTGAGAGGAGCTTTCCCCTGGCCAGGAGGGATTTCAAAGGGGTTTACCCTTCCCTTTATATTTATGACAGGGACTGCCACCTGTTATGCCTAGACTACCTCTGAACCCGTTTTCCCTGCCGGCTTGGGACTTCAGTGCCTTGCCTTGTTTGAGCCAGACACGCTTGCCTGTTGCAAACACAGATCCAAGTCTGAGCCATGTGCCCTTACAAGCTGCAGGCTTAACTGAAAACAGCTTAAGAAGTGCTTCTGTCTCCCGCACTCAGATACCCAGCTCCCAATAGGGTCCAAACCCCAAATAAATCCATTTTACCCTGTGTAAAGTCTATACAGGGTAAACTCATAAAGTGTTCGCCCTCTATAATACTGATAGAGAGAGAGATGCACAGCTGTTTGTTCCCCTAGATATTAATACTTACTCTGGGTTAATAAGTAAAAAGTGATTTTTATTAAATACAAAAAGTAGGATTTAAGTGGTTCCAAGTAATAACAGACAGAATAAAGTAAATTACCAAGCAAAATAAAATAAAACACGCAAGTCTAAGCCTAATACAGTAAGAAAACTGAATATAGATTAAAATCTCACCCTCAGATATTTCAATAAGCTTTTTTTCACAGACTGGACACCTTCCTAGGCTGGGCCCAATCCTTTCCCTGGTACAGTCCTTGTTCCAGCTCAGGTGGTAGCTAGGGGATTTCTCATGACTACAGCCCCCGTTGTTCTGTTCCACCCCCTTATATATCTTTTGCACAAGACGGGAATCCTTTGTCCCTCTCTGGGTTCCCACCCCTCCTTCTAAATGGAAAAGCACCGGGTTAAAGATGGATTTCAGTTCAGGTGACATGATCACGTCACTGTAAGACTTCATTACCCACTTGCCAGCATACAGGGAGACTTACAAGTAAACAGAGCCACTTACAACCAATTGCCCTGGTTAATGGGAGCCATCAAGATTCAAAGCCACCATTAATGGCCCACACTTTGCATAATTACAATAGGACCTCAGAGTTATATTTCATATTTCTAGTTTCAGATACAAGAATATGTTTATACAAATAGGATGAACACACACACAGTAGTTTATAAGCTTTGTAATGATACCTTACAAGAGACCTTTTGCATTAGGCATATTCCAGTTATATTCACTCTCAATAGTATATTTTCATAACATCATATGGAGTGCACAGTCACAGTCAGCGTTGTAGTATTTGTTTGATAGCATTCCTTTCTCCAAGTAACATACTGTGAATAAAAAAGGAGTACTTGTGGCGCCTTAGAGACTAACCAGTTTATTTGAGCATAAGCTTTCGTGAGCTACAGCTCACTTCATCGGATGCAACAAATACTGTGAATAATCATGATGTCCCAGCTCTTAATCATACATGACATCAGATGGTTGTAAGGACATGAACATCTACTAGGTATTTGCTGTGAACTGAAAGCCAAGGGCTCGGCAGGGTAGATGGATGTGGTTCAGAAGAAAAAGCCCTGGTTAGTAGAAAAGGAAGAGAGCAGAATGGTAGAAGAACTGAGGTGTACTGCAGTTTCTGTGGGGAATTCAAAGTGCTTAGAACATCAGTGTTAATGATCCAGATTTCTTCCATTTGCCGCTTCTGTGTGTCCTCTGCTAAAGGCCTTTGGTCTTCATGTAAATACTTAGCAGTGTTATCTGAAATAACCTAAAAGAATTTCTGCCCCTTTATTTCCTACAATAGCCGAGGTTTCTAAAGGAGTCATTTTAACTCTTGTAAATCAGAAGTGCTTTAGCTAGAAATGAGTTCTGACGATTTCCAGGAAAGTGGCAGTTTCTGTCTTGTGCAGTAGTGGTCTATAGTTTGGGTGGAGAGGGTCATTTGGGGCAAGGATTGTTCTAGAACAATGGGGCATTCCTTTTCTTCCCGTGAATAACTTTTCAAGTGTGTTCTGACTCTGCTCTGTGTCTTAGGTAAAGAAGCACAGACAGGGCCTTTGCTTTTTGATGATCTTCCACCGGTCAGCAGTGCTGACTCAGGTAAGAGGACTCTAATCGTGTTGTCGGCATCTGCCTAGCTTCTGTTTGCATCAGCATCTCTTCTCACGCTGAAATTTTATCTAAACCTTTTTTAATTATACATAAGTATAGGATAAAATCTTTCAGAATATCTACATGTTTGAGTGTCCATCTTCTTCCTCCTCACTCATTTCTTCAACTAATATAAATTGCTATCTTAATATGGATCTTTCATATTTTTTGAAATGTTAACATGGGGCATATTAAAAACATCAGTATAAGGCCTAGGTCCTCCCATTGTGTGCTAATAATTGTTTATATGCTGGAGAGATATGCATTTAAACTGATCTGGTCTGAGTAAGCTGGCATTTTGTAGCTTTCACACGTCTGTGGGACAGAATCAGAATTCTGCTCATGGGGTGGAGGCACTCAATTTACATGTTGACTGCTTTCTTGTGTTTCAGGGACAGGAGGACCTTTGCTCTTTGATGATCTCCCACCAGCTAGCAGTGGGGACTCAGGTAAGGGACTGTAACGGCCTTCATAAGGCTCCATACATGTCTTTCCTCATGGAATTTGTCAGCATAGCTTATCATACTGGGATTGTGATTCATCTTGTTTGTTCCAACAATCTTGCCTGTATCTTGGTGAGTATTTGGGCAGTTGCACTGGTAGTGGTGTCATATTCATGTAACACAAAATCTAAGTTAATCAAATGTGGATCTATCTGCAGAAACAAGTGCACAGGTTCCTTTCCATAACATCTCTGATGTCCTTGAAAGACTGCAGATAATGGGTTTTATAATACAGTAGTTCTCAACCAGGGGTGTGCAGAGGTCTTCCAGGAGTACATCAACTCCTCTAGATATTTGCCTAGTTTTCAACAGGCTACATAAAAAGCGCTAGCAAAGTCAGCACAAACTAAAATTTCATACAGACAATGACTTGTTTGTACACTGAAATGTAAGTACAATATTTATATTCCAGTTGATTTATTTAATAATTATATAGTAAAAATATGAGGAAAATAAGCAATGTTTCAGTACTAGTGTGCTATGACACTTTTTTGTATTTTTGTTTCTGATTTTGTAAGCAAGCACTTTTTAAGTGAGGTGAAACTTGGGGGGTACAGAAGACAAATCAGACTCCTGAAGGGGGTACAGTAGTCTGGAAAGGTTGAGAGCCACTGTTGTACTTTATGCTTTTTGCAGGTTGGAGTGAACTTTACACTGCTCACTTTAGAGAGCACTGGCTATAGTTATACATGCCGCAGTTAAGCACTGCACAAGCTTCATACAGCCTTGCTGCTGTGACTTGATCTTGGCCAAAACTGCCTACTGCTGTTACAATTGTGGATTCCTCTTAAAGCAAGACTGCCAGATTTGCCAAATTTTCATTGTGTAGACAGATAGTCCTTAGGGACTAGGAGGAGATTCATTCCATGAGCATTGAATCCACTGTCCCTTCAGATGCCATGATAATTATATTTCTGCTTCATCACCCCCAACTTTATTTTGTAGTCCATCCTGTCTCTTGTATATCTTCTATATAAGAATAGTATTGTCTGTCCTAGAAAGTAGTAACCATCCTTGACAACTATCATGCATGAAAAAGTTTGACTCAGACTCACAATTTATCAGACCACTCTGTATTAGCAGAGCAGCTTTGCTAATAAAACATTTAGAAGTGAGCCCCCCGAGTGGGGCTTGTGTCTCTTAATTTATACAGTTTTTTGGAGAACAACTTACAGAGAAGTTACAGACAAAAGAAGAAAAAGATTTTAGTCACCACCCTTCGAGATCCCTGAGACCAGTCACGTGTCTTCAATTACCTGCCACCCTTAACAATCTCCTTTAACAGCTTCCAGTTAACTTAACTAATTGCCCTTCACACCTTCCATTCTGATGCCTGCTTCTTAGATGTGCTGGCTCTATCTTAATTGCTTCTCCATTCAAAAGCTAACTGTCCCTAGGTGTGCTCCCTCAGATACTTTGTAACATGTTTTGGCATGCCCTCTCATATACAATGTATCCAGCATGTCCCCTTATACAACCTTATACTTATACAATGTTATACTTCCACACAGTCATGTTGCAAAAACTAGAAATTCCTCAGCTTTAAACTTTTGGTTTTAACATATCCAAGCAGTTAACCAAGATCAGTCTGGTAGCTAGGAAACTAACGACAGGACCAAAGTGGGGGAGAGGGGAGTCTGCCAACCAAAATTTACCAGACTAGTAGTAGTACTGTAGGTCCATAATCCTTCAGTGTAAAAGGAATTGTTCTCTTCAGTGTAAGAGGTGAGTGATTCCCGTCAATAAAAACAAAAAAGGGCAGAAAACACTTCTGCAAAGTCTTCAGATATCTGAATTTTTGCTGTCTTCTAGCTTCACGCATCACTGAGCAGGTCTCAGCAGTAGGAAATCATGGGAAAGGAGAGAAGAGGAAAGTCTCAGAGGAAGAGAAGAATGGCCATGAAGAACTTGTGGAAAAGAAAGTTTGTAAAGGTTTTCAGACAGTTTGAAAACAAATGTACTCTGTTTTGTACTCTTTAAGTTGGGTTGAGTAAGTCCAGATCAAAGCTCATCTTTGGTTCCTTAGTACACTTTCTATGGTTATTTTTAAGAAATGAAGTGTGCTGCCTGCTGGCAGAGTTCATACTTGGATCCCAGGGTTTCGATGCATCCCCTAGGTATTCATTTGGGAGGCTATTAGCAGTTGTGCTGAACCAGCCCAGAAGTATAATAGTGGGTACTTTCACAACCATCCAGAGACCTGCAGTCAGAGCACAAGTCCTGGAGTAGCAAAGGTGTGGAAGTGACTGTCTGACTCCTGGCAGAGGTTCAGACCACTTTGCCCCGCTAGCATCTTGTCACTCCATCAAATGGTTGCAATGAAATTAGAAATCCTGAGAAAACTGGCTTAAACTTTCACATCTGGCTTGCTTGCTTTTTGGTACAGATGTGTAAAACACAGTAGTGATACAGATTTCCTAACATTGCACTAGGCTTTGAGAACTGGATTCGTTCAGTAGGTTCAAACCAAGAAAGATAAATTTGATTGAAACAGCATTTGGTTTAGCTTTATTTTATCTATTGTTAGCAGCCTCATTAGATTTACTGTTTCATCAAAAGAGTTTCCATGGAGTGCATCCCTCTCCTGGTCATGCGTGATATCCCAGTCTGATGTAGCTTTAGCACTCAAGCATGGTTGTCCTGCTTCAGTAGGATGCAAACTGCCTTACAGTTTCTGATGTGGGGACACTTAATACTAGTGTCACACAGCATGTCATTTTCAGCAAAAGGTTCCAAAAGCTGACCCTTTTTTAAAAAAAAATTTTTTTTAATTTCAAGTATAGCCTATGCAGGGCAAGACATGCTTCTTGTCATGATGCCATGGGATTTTCAGAATCTTGCATAGAGCAAAATGATCACAAGTTTGTAAATCAGGCTCAGGAGATGGAGACGTTTCATGTGTTTAAGTTTTGCTTTGTTTCTCACTAGCATCTGGAGGCATCTTTGGACTGAAAGGTTATATGGCAGAGAGAAAAGGTGAACGAGAAGAGATGCAGGATGCACATGTCATCTTGAATGACATCACTGAGGAGTGCAGACCCCTGCCCCCTCAAATGTAAGTATGCCAGACCTCCAGAGCCAGGGAATAACATTGTAGTACACAAGAGTCATAGAATCATAGAATATCAGGGTTGGAAGGGACCCCTGAAGGTCATCTAGTCCAACCCCCCTGCTTGAAGCAGGACCAATTCCCAGTTAAATCATCCCAGCCAAGGCTTTGTCAAGCCTGACCTTAAAAACCTCTAAGGAAGGAGATTCTACCACCTCCCTAGGTAACGCATTCCAGTGTTTCACCACCCTCTTAGTGAAAAAGTTTTTCCTAATATCCAATCTAAACCTCCCCCACTGCAACTTGCGACCATTACTCCTCGTTCTGTCATCTGCTACCATTGAGAACAGTCTAGAGCCATCCTCTTTGGAACCCCCTTTCAGGTAGTTGAAAGCAGCTATCAAATCCCCCCCTCATTCTTCTCTTCTGCAGGCTAAACAATCCCAGCTCCCTCAGCCTCTCCTCATAACTCATGTGTTCCAGACCCCTAATCATTTTTGTTGCCCTTCGCTGGACTCTCTCCAATTTATCCACATCCTTCTTGAAGTGTGGGGCCCAAAACTGGACACAGTACTCCAGATGAGGCCTCACCAATGTCGAATAGAGGGGAACGATCACGTCCCTCGATCTGCTGGCTATGCCCCTACTTATACATCCCAAAATGCCATTGGCCTTCTTGGCAACAAGGGCACACTGCTGACTCATATCCAGCTTCTCGTCCACTGTCACCCCTAGGTCCTTTTCTGCAGAACTGCTGCCTAGCCATTCGGTCCCTAGTCTGTAGCTGTGCATTGGGTTCTTCCGTCCTAAGTGCAGGACCCTGCACTTATCGTTATTGAACCTCATCAGATTTCTTTTGGCCCAATCCTCCAATTTGTCTAGGTCCTTCTGTATCCTATCCCTCCCCTCCAGCGTATCTACCACTCCTCCCAGTTTAGTATCATCCGCAAATTTGCTGAGAGTGCAATCCACACCATCCTCCAGATCATTTATGAAGATATTGAACAAAACCGGCCCCAGGACCGACCCTTGGGGCACTCCACTTGATACCGGCTGCCAACTAGACATGGAGCCATTGATCACTACCCGTTGAGCCCGACAATCTAGCCAGCTTTCTACCCACCTTATAGTGCATTCATCCAGCCCATACTTCCTTAACTTGCTGAGTCATGACAAAAAGATGAAAGAGCTCCCATTAACTTTGCCTGAGCTCTTGACAGTGATCCCTCACTCTGAGCAACTACTGCTTGTGACTAAATATTGCTTTGTGTGGTGGTGTGGGTGATCTGCATTGTATTCCTAGATCTGCCACTGACTTTGAGAAAATCATGTAAGGTTTGATGATGCAAAAGGTGCCTCATTTGTTAGGTGGTCCATATCAGGTGCCTAAGACCTGACTTCCTTATTTTTATTTATTTATTTTTCCACGTGAAGTGCTGAGTACCCACCACTCCTGTTGACTTCAGTCAACTCCTCCTAGTACCTCTGGATATCAGGCACAAGATACCTGAAGGCTCTCAACTTGAGTATAGCTGTTTTAAGCCTTGCCTTTGGGGTTTCACAACAGTTAGTTAAAATCCCAGGTGTGACAGTGATGAGGAGCTTGGATACTTGGAGAAGAGAAGCCATCAGGTATCAAACTCTCAACTTTAATGATCTGAAAGTTATAATTAATTTGAGGGGAAGTGGTGGAATGTATCATTTTTAAAAGCAACACTGACAGACCATAAAAGATCATTTTAAAAACATTCTTTTAAAGCTAAATATGTGATCTAAAGCTTGTAGAACAAAAGGCAATTTGACAATAATTAGTATGTCCCCACGTCTCTTGTGTATTGCACAGCTGTAGCAACCATTCTGCATGAAGAGAATTCTGGGATGTGTTGGATTGGCATCTGTGAATAGCAAATTCTGAAATTGTTGGATAGAGGCTCCAGAGTTGGAGTGCCCATGAGGTGCAATGTCTAGCTGTTGTTAAATGTAGCTGGGGGCCATAGCCTCTCTTCCTTTCCTTCATTTCCTAGGGGAGATGGGGAAAGTTTTAGTACTCCATACATGCTAGCTCTACGCTTTTTAGAGGAAGCACTGCATTTTCTGTTCCAATACAGGTTGGGAGAGCTGCTGTGGACACAAGCCTCTTTTTACTAAATCTTAACTTCTGGTTGATATCAGCCCTTTCACAGCTAGTTTACATTCATGTTTCTTCCTTTGCAGAACCCGTGTCTCGTACTTTGCTGTTTTTGATGGCCATGGGGGAGTTCGAGCTTCAAAATTTGCAGCACAGAATCTGCACCAAAACCTGATTAGGAAATTTCCTAAAGGTAGGAGAGGGCCATATGGGGACATGTGCATCATCTGTCATTCCTCATGACTTGCTGCTGTGGTGTGTCCATTAAGAAATTACTTTGGATAGCCCGAGTCAGGGACATAGCTGTGTGTGGAGTATTGGGTGACCATGCCTCTAGGCTGGAGACAGGAGAGGTGTGATAAGTTGTTGAGCAGATTTGTTAGGCTATCAAGCCAAAAGCCATAACGGTGTTAGCTAGGTTAGGCAAACTCTATGGAATAGCCATAGCAGATGTATGAATATGGCTGAGGAAAATAATAGCATTACAATAGGTGTCCCTTGTCTTCAAGGGTGAATAACTAGGCTGTATTATACAAGCTGGCCATGCACGTTTATATCTGAATCTTTGGCAGTTGGGCACTTGGGTCATGTCTGCCCTATGTAACTAATGTGTGCAGTGTGACCTGTTTATGCATGTCAGACAGGTGAGGAAGGAGGCAAGGTTTAGATAAGCATGGTGTTTCAAAAGGAGCATACACCACTTTCTCTTGTGTTACAGGAGAGGTAGTCAGTGTGGAGAAAACAGTGAAAAGATGCCTTTTGGACTCTTTCAAACATACAGATGAGGAGTTCCTGAAGCAGGCCTCCAGCCAGTAAGTATAAATGTCCCCCAGAGCTACTTGTAACTATTAAAAATGTCTACCTCTCCCAGATCCCGATTCTGAGTTATCTCCTGAGTGGTACAGCCAGAAGGTGCAACTCCTACAATGGGACAAAGGTGACCTTAAGTTGTCATTGCTTCTTGCCAAGATTCCAATTGGCCTGTATGCAAGTTGGAGCCGCAGCCTTCAATGCCTGCTGATAGGCAGGCAGAGTGGCCATAATAGCTGGAGTGTAGTGCACTCCAACCCTGCCCCCTACACTACAGGCTGTACAGGACAGCAGCATAGGGCTACCCTACCCTGTAAGGGTAAGACCAGGATTGTCATGGGGAGTGAGGCACTATGGGGCCAGAATGTGAGCCAAAACTGGCTTTTGTCCCTTTCTTCTATAGCACCTTTTGTGACCTGTATCCAAGGAGATCTTGCATATTACTAAAATAACAGTTAACGATCAAATAACTTAAGATATCAAGTGATAGCAATAGTTTTTTAACTTAAATCTGCAAGCTCATAGCATGACAGAGTGACATGTTCCTAGCACAAGGAATTCCAGATATTCAGGGAGTTCTGCATCGCCCTCTATCCAGAATTCAGGTGGCTACCAGCAGATATGCTCCCACATAGAGCAATGGTCATGACCAAGGATTCTAGTGAATCACTGAGATTATTTTTTTTTATGCCTTAAGTTATATGTAGTTAAACTTTTATCTGCCTGTCCCATGTTACTAGTTAAAGCTTGCATTATTTTCAAGACTGCTCTCTAAAGCAGTGGTTCTCAACCAGGGATCTGGGACCCCCTGGGGGGTTGTGATCAGGTTTCAGGGGGTCCGCCTAGCAGGGCTGGCATTAGACTTAATGGGGCCCAGGGCAGAAAGCCAAAGCCCCACTGCATTGGATTGAAGCCCAGGGCCTTGCCACCCGGGGCTGAAGCTGAAGACTGAGCAACTTAGTTTCACGGGGTCCCCTGTGGTGTGGGGCCATGAGCAATTGCCCTACTTGTTACCCCTAACACTGACCCAGGCTTTTATATGCAGAAAAACAGTTATTGTGGCACAGGTGGGCCGGGGAGTTTTTATAGCATGTTGGGCAGGCCTCAAAAAGAAAAGATTTGAGAACCCCTGCTCTAAAGGATGGATGGTCTGATGGTTAACAACTAATATTTGAATCGTCCTTCTAACGGACTATACTTTTTCTTAGCTTTGTTCTAATGGAGACTTATTTTCCTTGAGGAAAAACACAGCCTATCCCCACATGTGGGGGGGGGGGAACACCACTAACGCTTTGAGGTGCCACCATGTATCGCTTTATACTTAAGCAAGTGTGACAGACCCAGACCAGTGGGGTACAGGAGTCTGTTAGAAGGCAAATATACTGGCCACTGGATAAACAGTTTTCTGTTCCCTGAGTGTCCAGAGCAGGGGATGCCCTAGAGCAATCCGGAACCTGCTAGAACCGGTTAAGACAGGCAAGATAATCAAGATACCTGGAGCCAATTAAGAACTTCGTAGAATCATTATGGCAGGCAGGCTAATCTGGACACCTGGTTTAAAAAGGACCTCCCATCAGTTAGTAGGGGAGTGCGCAAGGAGCAGGGAGTGAGAAGGCATGCTGCTGGAGGACTGAAGAGTTCAAGCGTGATCAGGCTTCAGGAGAAAGATTCTGCAGTGAGGATAAAGAAGGTGCTGTGGGAAGGCCATGGGGAAGTAGCCCAGGGAGTTGTAGCTGTCACGCAGCTGATACAGGGAACATTGTAGACAGCTGCTATCCACAGGGCCCTGGGCTGGAACCTGGTGTAGAGGATGGGCCCAGGTTCCCCCCAACTCATGATCAGACACAGGAGGAGTTGACCTGGTCTGTGAGAAACACTAGAAGGGAAGGTCTAAATTGGAAAGGGATCTGGCCTGTCCCCGACCCACTAGGTGGGACACAGAGACTGCGGGGATTGTTCTCTGTTTTCCCCCATGTTGGCCAGTCATAAGGTTAGCTGAGTGGATGGCAGGTTTGAGCCATTAGCAAAGTGGCCAAACTGAGGGCTGCCGTGAATCTCTGAGGCAAGCAAATCCGCCAATAAGCGCAGGACCCACCAAGGCAGAGGAGGAACTTTGTTACACAAGTTACATGCTGGGTTAATCCAACTTGGTTACCAGCCTTGCATATCCTTTCCATTTCATAACTTTTCATCTATAACACATCTGGAGAGAATATCGATACATCTAGCAATGAGCTTAGAAATTTCACTTCATATGTACAACATCACAAACCAAACTCCAGTTCAGCCCTCTAACCCTAACCAGTTAAACAAAACAAACGTGACCAGTGTAGGCACTAAAAAGTACTAACAGAATTCGTTAAAACAATTATTTGATATCTTTCCCAAACCTGTGTTTTTAAAAAAAACAAAACTCCATCTAACCTGTATATATTATATTCTGTAATCTACACGGCTGCATTTGCAAACTTGTTAGTTACATCAGCATTTGAAATTATGGAGAAATTTAATTAGGCTCTTCAGCATCAGGAAAACACAAATGAAAGATGATTTAGGAGCAGATAAATTTAAGAAATGACACTCAGAATTGTTATACTGTTATGTCTGGTCCACAGTAAGGAAAACAGTGCTGCAGCTATAATCCAAGCAGCATGTCTGATTTTACACCATGCTGTCTAGACACTTGTTGAACTACAGAAAGCCAAATGTCCGGAAAACAACTTAAACAGGGAGTGGGGATTACTGAAGCTGGAGGATGGTGGGTACTGTGGGTGATGATTTGAAATAGTATGAGTGAGGAATACCAGGTATGAGGGGAGCAGTGAGTAGATTGCATATTCTCCTCTGTTACTGTTTAGTTCCTCACCATCCACCTGCCCTGCACTCTATGGAAGTTGCCACTTAAGGAGAACTTCCATTATTTTTTAGGCACTGAGAGCTAGGCAGTTACTGTGAAACTTGTTCTGTCATACCCTTAAATGAGTTCCCTGGAGTTGAGTGTAGCATGGAATGGGAGGAGAAGAAAAATGCAGAGAGGTAGCTGTTACCTGCAGCCATCCCTCAGAACCCCACCTTGGGGGTGCCACCCACAGTTAGAAATTGCTGCTCTATGTTGCTAATCTGTCTTCATCTTAGTATGTATCTTGTCTGTATAAACCTGTTTTATATAATTAATTTAACAAAAACCTGTGAGCAAAACGGGGAGAACTCCCAAACAGAATCTTGGCGTTTTTGTGCTAGTTGACTTCTGAATGTCTTGCAATGGAGGCATCCTTTGCAGGGTTCTCTGAACCTTTAGAAATAGAACACCGGGTTAACCTCTAACAAAAACTAGCTTTTTCCATTGTAACCTTATTTCTGGTGCCTCCAGGAAGCCTGCGTGGAAGGATGGGTCCACAGCAACCTGTGTCCTGGCTGTGGATAACATCCTTTACATTGCCAACCTTGGAGACAGCCGGGTAAGTAACACTAAGAAACCTACTATGTAGATTTTAATTGTATAACATCCCCAGTACTTGCAGGAGGAATGGATTTCCACCCTTTATAGGGATTCCGGTTGGGAGATGCTAAAGTAATTGATTACACTGATTACATTAATTGTTTGTCAATCATTCTTTACTGAGCTTCACTGGAAGATCCTGGACAGAAGTAGCTGGGAGCTCCCAACTGTTCCTACAAAGATTCCTCCTTGAAGAGGCTGAGACTTAGAGTAGCTGTGTGTCCCTCTAGGTTCTAACTTACAAGAACATAAAAACGGCCATACTGGGTTGGACCAATGGGCCATCTATCCCAGTATCCTGTCTTCTAACAGTGGCCAATGTCAGGTGCTTCAGAGGGGATGAACAGGAAGTCTGTGTCCACAGTCTCTGTTTGCCAGAAGCTGGGAGTGGATGTTGGGATGAATCACTCGATGACTTCCTGGGAGTGAACAGGAAGTTAAGCCCATTCCTGCCCCTAAAGCTGCATTTTTTTTCACAGGAATTTAAGAGAAACTCTCCTATTCCCCCAGCAGTCCATGTGACTTCACTTGTGTTCCCCCCCTCCCCCCGGGCTTTTAGCACAAGATTCTTTCTCACTGCTAACCAACCCTGGGACAGATTCTGCCACATTAAAGAAATCATTCTCCAGTAGAAACAGTGCAAAATTGTGTGCCACTGTTGCAACAGTCAGTTCAGCCTGCAAATCACTAGTTTGCATGCGTACTTTAGCTAAAGGGGCACGGACTTAGTAACCTCTCACCAATTCTAATCCTGCAATTTTCCCTGGCAACAAATCCTCCTGGATCAGGTCCTCCTGACCACAGAAGTCTCTATCCTTAAACCAACAAGTACTTTCCCATTAAATTTAACAGCATGCATATGCTAACTGCTTGGTTGTGTAGAAGCAACATTTACAAATCCTATGTGGAAAGAAGCAGCAGCCTGGCTCTGAGAAGCAGCAGCTTCATGTATTACCTGCTGCCTGTTCCCTCTTAACCAAGGGCAATTATTGTTCAGGTGCTCAATGGACTTACAATGGTAGCACCTCTTGGGCTCCTCTGCTTGTACAGGAGATTTGAGACGAGTAACAGGAGTGGGGAGGTGAACGCCCAGCCTCCTTTTTCCCGGGGTATAACGGTGATTCTGCTTTCCCCCAACCCTGTACCCCTCTGCCAGTGGTTTATGTTTAATTGCAGCTTGTGATTGCTCGTAAGAGTTCGCAAACCCAGCTAATTCACCCACTGCATTCACCGTTTTATCCCACAAATACAGTTTTACATCATCACTGCACATATTCAGGAATTGTTCCTGAGTAACCAAATCACACATTCCTTCCAAGCTTGTAATGCCTTTCCCCGTCACCCACTTATCTACCAAATCTCTCTCTTCATTTATATAAGCCACATTACTCAAACCAGATCTCCTCTTAAGACTCCTGAATTTAACCCTGTAGGTTTCAGGTGTAATCTGAAACTGTTTCAAAACCAGTTCCCTAAATTTACCATAGTTTGAAGCATCATCACTAGGCATCTTACTGAATATGTCCAGAGCTCTGCCAATTTTGCAATCAATGTGGTCATTTTTTGATCTTCAGGGATAGTATGGTCAGTCTTTCAAAGGTGATTTAAATATTGGGCAGTATCACTGGATTCATCATACTGTGGACATAGTCGCTCCCATTTGTCGATTTTTGGGGAAGTGGAACCAGCAGCTAGAGGGTTTTGTCTCTTTTACTCCATAACAGTCAGTTTATGCTTCTGGGCCTGTATTTCTCTGTCTCTTAACTCCAGGGCTCTCTTGTCCCTGGCTGCTTCTGCTTCCATTGCCCTTTTGTGGGCAGCTTCCTCCCTGGCTGTCTCTGCATTAATTTCCATTTGTTTTAATTCCATCAGTCCTCTAAGTTCATTTTCTTTCTCAGCCATTTGCAACCTGTGCAGTTCTATCTTTTTCTGAGTCTCACTCACGTTGCTGATTTTTCCTGCCTCTATTCCCTTCCCCAAAATAAGCAAACAGAAAATAACAAATCAAAGAATATCAGGATTGGAAGGGACTTCAGGAGGTGATCTAGTCCAACCCCCTGCTCAAAGCCGGACCAATCCCCAACTAAATCATCCCAGCCAGGGCTTTGTCAAGCCTGACCTTAAAAACCTCTAAGGAAGGAGATTCCACCACCTCCATAGGTAACGCATTCCAGTGCTTCACCTCCCTCCTAGTGAAGGTTTTTTCTAATATCCAACCTAAACCTCCCCCACTGCAACTTGAGACCATTACTCCTTGTTCTGTCATCTGCTACCACTGAACAGCCTAGATCCATCCTCTTTGGAACCCCCTTTCAGGTAGTTGAAAGCAGCTATCAAATCCCCCCTCGTTCTTCTCTTCCGCAGATGAAACAATCCCAGTTCCCTCAGCCTCTCCTCATAAGTCATGTGTTCCAGTCCCCTAATCATTTTTCTTGCCCTCCGCTAGACACTTTCCAGTTTTTTTCACATCCTTCGTCTGGTTTGGGGCCCAAAACTGGACACAGTACTCCAGTTGAAGCCTCACCAATGTCAAATAAAGGGGAACGATCATGTCCCTCGATCTGCTGGCAATGCCCCTACTTATACATCCCAAAATGCCGTTGGCCTTCTTGGCAACAGTGGCACACTGTTCACTCATATCCAGCTTCTTGTCCACTGTAACCCCTAGGTCCTTTTCTGCAGAACTGCTGCCTAGCCATTTGGTCCCTCGTCTGTAGCGGTGCATGGGATTCTTCCGTCCTAAGTGCAGGACTCTGCACTTGTCCTTGTTGAACCTCATCAGATTTCTTTTGGACCAATCTTCTAATTTGTCTAGGTCCCACTCTATCCTATCCCTACCCTCAGCGTATCTACCTCTCCTCCCAGTTTAGTGTCATCTGCAAACTTGCTGAGGGTGCAATCCACGCCATTCTCCAGATAATTAATGAAGATATTGAACAAAACCGGCCCCAGGACCGACCCTTGGGGCACTCCGCTTGATACCAGCTGCCAACTGGACATGGAGCCATTGATCACTACCCGTTGAGCCCGACAATCTAGCCAGCTTTCTATCAACCTTGTCGTCCATTCATCCAGCCCGTACTTCTTTAACTTGCTGGCAAGAATACTGTGGCAGACCATGTCAAAAGCTTTGCTAAAGTCAAGGAACAACACGTCCACTGCTTTCCCCTCATCCACAGAGCCAGGCACTTGTCTGTTCTCCAGCCACCACGCCCAAAACTCACTCTAATGACAGGTTTCAGAGTAGCAGCCATGTTAGTCTGTATTCGCAAAAAGAAAAGAAGTACTAGTGGCACCTTAGAGACTAACCAATTTATTTGAGCATAAGCTTTCATGAGCTACAGCTCACTTTATCGGATGCTGTAGCTCATGGAAGCTTAGGCTCAAATAAATTGGTTAGTCTCTAAGGTGCCACTAGTACTCCTTTTCTTTCTGCGAAAACTCACTTAAAATCACTACCAGTATCTCAAAGCAATCAGCTGTGCTCGCTGCATCACTGTGACGGCTTGGATCACAGAAAACCCCTTGAACTGCCATCTGAGGTATTGAGACTACCCCTGAGCCTGTTTCCCCTGGCAGCTTGGGACTTCAGTGCCCTGCCTGGTTTGAGCCAGACATACTATCCTGCTGCAAACCCAGACCCAGGTCTGGACTATGTCCCCCAACAGCTGCAGGCTTAACTGAAAACTGCTTAAGAAGTGTTCCTGTCTCTAACACCCAGATGCCCAGCTCCCAATGGGGTCCAAACCCCAAATAAATCAGTTTTACCCAGTATAAAGCTTACACAAGATAAACTCATTGTTTGTTTGTTTGCTCTCTATAACACTGATAGAGAAATATGCACAGCTGTTTGCCGCTCCCCCCCCCCCCCCCCAGGTATTAATACATATTCTGGGTTAATTAAGTAAAAAGTGATTTTATCACTCCCACCCCCCGTGGTTACTGTCCTTTGTTCCAGTTTCTTTCAGATAGCCTCTCCACCCACAAAGGATATCTCTTGAGCCAGCTGAAGACAAAATAGAGGGGCCTCCCAGGGGCTTAAATAGAACTGTGGTTGGAGACCCCCTCCTCTCCTATGCAAAATCCAGTTCCAAGATAGAGTTTTGGAATCACATGGGCAAATCACATGTCCAAGCATGACTGAGTTCCTTGCCAGCCAGGCCACATTCCTGGGAAAGCTCTCCAAGTTCATTGTTAGCTTAAGTGTTTCTTGATTGGGAACTTTAACTTGCAAATTCCTTTCTAAAGAAGCTGACCAAATGCTTTAATTAGGCTATTTAAAATTAAACAAGTACACAGCCAGTATTCATAACTTAGAACACAGAAATGATACATGCATAAAACAGGATGAATATATTCAGTAGATCATAACCTTTGCAGAGAGATGTTACACGGCATATGTAGCATAAAACGTATTTCAGTTATGTCATATATTCATTCATAAGCATATTTCCATAAAACATTATGGAGTGCCATGTCACACTGTACTCCACTTAGACGCAATTCTTGATTTCATCTTCCTCTTGTGGTTTCTGGGACTAACTGCTCCAAGAAGTAGTCATTTATGGTGTCAAAATACTTTATCTCTGCATCCTGTCCTGAGATGACATGTACCCAGTCATTGTAGGGATAGTTGAAATCCCCCATTATTACTGAGATTTCTGTTTGTTAGGGTTTTTTTATAGCCTCTAATCTCCCTGAGCATTTCACAGTCACAATCACCGTCTTGGTCAGGTGGCCAGTAGTGTATCTCTACTGCTATATTCTTATTATTCAAGCATGGAACTTCTATTTATGGAGATCTTCTTTGGTACAGTTTAGTTCATTTTAAGATTTGTGCTATATTTGACTCTCTATGCTTTCTTTCACATATAGTACCACTTCCCCACCAGCATGTGTCATTCCTATATATTGGGGGTTCTCAAACTGGGGGCTGGGACCACTCAGTGGGTCACAAGGTTATTACATGGGGAGTCACAGGCTGTCAGCCTCCACCCCAAACCCCGCTTTGCCTTCCAGCATTTATAATGGTGTTTTAAATTTATACAGGGGGGGAGGGTCGCACTCAGTGGCTTACTATGTAAAAGGGGTCACCAGTACAAAAGTTTGAGAACCACTGCTATATATTTTGTACCCTGGTATTAGTGTCCCATTGATTATCATCATTCCACCAATTTTCCATGGTGCCTATTATATCAATATCCTCATTTGATATCTGGCACTTGTATTTGCCCTTCTTAATATTTAGACTTCTAGCATTTGTATATAAGCACTTAAAAAACTTGTCGATATTTAGCTGTCTGCCATTATGTGATGATATGCCCTTCTGCAAACCTGTTGTGTTCTTTAGCTGTCTCCTGGTGGACTCCAGGTTGTGCTAGATACCTGATTATATCTTTTAGTTAGTGGTGTCTTCAATTTATTTTAAAAATCCCATAAATTACTTGCATTTCAAAAATAATTTTAAGATCAATCTTCTTCTTTGCCAAAGGGATGAAATTCAGTACAATAATTTTTGGTCTTGCCATGAGTTTTTATTTCCTGGGGAATTGAACCTGAAAACCTTTGTTCAGGGAAGAGATCCTTTGTTCTGCATTTGTTTGGTAGAAACTTTATACTACAGGCTTAACACCACTTACTCACAAGGGGTTTTTGTCAGCACAGGCGATTTTGTGTCGTTACAACGAGGAGAGTCAAAAACATACAGCCTTAAGTCTCAGTAAAGAACACAACCCTACCCAATATGAGGAGCGAATGAGGATACAGAAGGCTGGAGGAAATGTCAGGTAAACAAGAGAAGAGATGGGAATGAGCCTGAACTCTCATGTGGTTTGGGTGTGCTCAGCACACCCAGCTCCCATAGAAGTTGATTGTGCTTACCATGTTTGAAAATCAGGGCACATAGGAATCTTGCTAGAGAAGCAGTTGTTTATGGGGTGCCCTCCAAGAATCCTGTAACTGGAATGGTAGGCTGAAATTAATTTTCCTGGCCTTAGAAAGAAACCGAGGGTGGATTTGTCCTAGAGGCATGGTACTGTGTTGCACTGGCAGGAGGGTGGAGCAGTGTTATGTGTCTTTGAGTGAAAGCCAGATGGCACTAAACAAGCACATATAAACTAAAACAGCAAAAAATTGCTCCTTGAGTGTATCTAAAGCTGCTTCCTCATTTCCTTGAAATATTATGCATACAGTGGCACCCTTAGTTCATCAACCAGGAGTTTGTCTGTATAGACGGTCAATGTATGGCAAGGTGAGATGTAAATCTACTCCATGCTAGTGTGCTGTTCGCTAACCGTCCACATGGATCCTGTTGATGCACACTGAAAGTTCTGTAGTGTGCTTTTATATACTCACACTCAAATTCTACTCTGCTTTGAAATGGATGTCAGCAGGGTCCACCCAAACAGTTAGTGAGCAGCAGGCTAGTGCCAGGTAGATTTACATCCCAGCTTGCCATACACTGTACAGAAAGGTTTCAGAGTAACAGCCGTGTTAGTCTGTATTCGCAAAAAGAAAAGGAGTACTTGTGGCACCTTAGAGACTAACCAATTTATTTGAGCATAAGCTTTCATGAGCTACAGCTCACTTCATCAGATGCATACTGTGGAAAGTGTAGAAGATCTTTTTATACACACAAAGCATGAAAAGATACCTCCCCCCCACCCCACTCTCCTGCTGGTAATAGCTTATCTAAAGTGATCACTCTCCTCACAATGTGTATGATAATCAAGGTGGGCCATTTCCAGCACAAATCCAGGTTCTCCCCCCCCGAACACACCCACCCACCCACTCTCCTGTTGTTAATAGCTGTTGGATTTGTGCTGGAAATGGCCCACCTTGATTATCATACACATTGTAAGGAGAGTGGTCACTTTAGATAAGCTATTACCAGCAGGAGAGTGGGGTGGGGGGAGGTATCTTTTCATGCTTTGTGTGTATAAAAAGATCTTCTACACTTTCCACAGTATGCATCTGATGAAGTGAGCTGTAGCTCATGAAAGCTTATGCTCAAATAAATTGGTTAGTCTCTAAGGTGCCACAAGTACTCCTTTTCTTTTTACTGTATAGACAAGCCCTTAGTAGTGATTAAGGTTTGAGATGTTCCCTATATTTAAAATGGGTACTCTTTCTAGAGCTGGAATGGACTTCTTTTAAAGTGCACTCACTCTGTGTGCATGTGAACACATAGACACTTTCGGTCTGGTGTATATTAATACTTAAATATCTGCTGTATTTTAATACTTGATCACTTTCTTGAAGACTTCCTTTTGACACAGTCAATGTTTCAACGAGTTACATCTTGACTTTTTTTACAGGGAAGTCAAAATCAGAGTGAAAAGATGTGTGGTTTGGTTTTGTTTGTTTTTTTTTAATTCCTAAATGTTCGGAATGCACGTGCTTCAAACTCCCCTGGAATCTTATCTTGCAGGGTGTGGGAATGGGTGGGCTAAGGCTTGTAATGCTAGCGTTCTCTGGAAATGGCATGTCCCTTATCTTCAGAGGGCACATGCCATTATTTGTGTTTATCCCCAATCCATCTCTGCAAGTAGGAAGGAGATGAACAAGTCTCTTAGTTCTTTGCAGACTTTAGGCAACATCTCCATTGGCTAGGAGTCTACCCATGTTTCAGTGGTTAAATGTTTTATGACAGAAAGAGGGAGGAAGGGAACTGTCAGCACACTGAATTATTGCAGGTTAACAAATAAGAGAAGCACCTGAATGGCATTCATCTGAGTTTTTGGTGGTGGAGTAGGTTCTGCCTACTGTTTTGGATTCAGAGGTTTACATTCAAGTAACACATACTTTAGGTCTCTGTGCAGTTGCCTCTGTGTATTAGTCATCACATAATACAAGTAGTGCTGTGTATTCATAGACTATCAGGGTTGGAAGGGACCTCAGGAGGTCATCTAGTCCAACCCCCTGCTCAAAGCAGCACCAATCCCCAATTTTTTCCCCAGATCCCTAAATGGGCCCCCTCCAGGATTGAACTCACAACCCTGGGTTTAGCAGGCCAATGCTCAAACCACTGAGCTATCCCTCCCTCGTATTGATACTATATAAAGATACACCAGTAAAGCTTAACTAAATAGGCAGTGTCTCTGAAAAGATAGGGGGTGAGCTGATGAGGGATGGGGCAGCTTGAAGAAACAAGCAACTACCAACTGAAGAATCGGGCCCTAAGCAGAGATGGGGCCATAATTGGAGGAGAAGTGTAAGTGGATTGGCAAAGGGATACAGATATGGATGGAGCAGGTCTCTGCATGGAAAGTCTTTTGAAAAGCCAGTTGGGAATTTTGAATTAGTTCAAAGTAGGGCTGTCAATTAATTGCAGTTAACTCATGTGATTAATTAAAAAAAAATTAATTGCAATTAATCGCACTGTTAAACAATAGAATAATTTCAATTTGTTAGTATTTTTGATTTTCTACATTTTCAAATATATCTATTTTAATTACAACACGGAATATAGTGTACAGTTCTCACTTTATATTTTTGATTACAAATATTTGCACTGTAAAAATGATGATAAAAGAAATAGTATTTGTCAATTCACCTCATACAAGTACTGTAGTGCAATCACTTTATCCTGAAAGTGCAACTTACAAACGTATATTTTTGGTTACATAACTGCACTCAAAAACAAAACAGTGTAAAACCTAAGAGCCTACGAGTCCACTCAGTCCTACTTCTTGTTCAGCCAATCACTAAGAGAAACAAGTTTGTTTGCATTTATGGGAGGTAATGCTGCCCACTTAATTACAATTTCACGTGAAAGTCAGAACAGATGTTCATAGAATATCAGGGTTGGAAGGGAGGTCATCTAGTCCAACCCCCTGCTCAAAGCAAGACCAATCCCCAATTTTTTTCCCCAAATCCCTAAATGGGGCCCCCTCAAGGATTGAACTCACAACCCTGGGTTTAGCAGGCCAATGCTCAAACCACTGAGCTATCCCTCCCCCCTCTGTTCACATGGCACTGTTTAGCTGGCATCGCAAGATATCTGTACCAGATGCGCTAAAGATTCATATGCCTCTTCGTGCTTTGGCCATTGTTCCAGAGGACATGCTTCCATGCTGATGATACTTGTTAATTAAATTTGTGACTGAACTCCTGGGGGGAGAATTGTATGTCTCCTGCTCTGTTTCTTACCCACATTCTGCCATATATTTAATGTTATAGCTGTCTCGGATGATGACCCAGCACATGTTGGTGGTTTGTTTTTAAGAACACTTTCACTGCAAATTTGACAAAATGCAAAGAAGATACCGATGTGAAATTTCTAAAGATAGCTACAGCACTCAACCCAAGGTTTAAGAATCTGAAGTGCCTTCCAAAATCTGAGAGGGATGAGGTGTGGACCATGCTTTCAGAAGTCTTAAAAGAGCAACACTCTGATGCAGAAACTACATAACCCGAACCACCAAAAAAGAAAATCAGCCGTCTGCTGGTGGCATCTGACTCAGATGATGAAAATGAACATGCACTGCTTTGGATCATTATGGAGCAGAACCTGTAGTCAGCTGGATGTATGTCCTCTGGAATGGTGATTGTAGCATCAAGGGACATATGAAACTTTAGCGCATCTGGTACGTAAATATCTTGCGATGCCGGCTACAACAGTGCTGTACAAACATCTGTTCTCACTTTCAGGTGACATTATAAACAAGAAGCCGGCAGTACTATCTTCTGCAAATGTAAACAAATTTGTTTGAACGATTGGCTGAACAAGAAGTAGGACTGAATGGACTTGTAGGCTCTAAAGTTTTACGTTGTTTTGTTTTTGAAAGCAGCTATTTTGTACATAATTCTACATTTGTAAGTTCAACTTTTATGATAAAGAGATTGCACTACAGTACTTGTATTAATGTGAATTGAAAAATACTTTTTTGTCTTTTACAGTGCAAATATTTGTAATCAAAAATATAAAGTGAGCACGGTACACTTTGTATCCTATGTTGCAATTGAAATCAATATATTTGAAAATGTAGAAAACATCCAAAAATATTTAAATAAATAGTATTCTATTATTGCTTAATAGCGTGCATAATAGCGATTAATTTTTTTAATCTCTTGACAGCCCTAGTTCTAAGATGGCTAGAAAGTCAGTGAGGGTGATGGAAAGAAGGCATGATACGGTTTTCTCGCTTTTAAGGCCCTTCATGGCTGCTTCTTATTATTATTTGGGGGGGAGGGATAGCTCAGTGGTTTGAGCATTGGCCTGCAAAACCGAGGCTTGTGAGCTCAATCCTTGAGGGGGCCATTTAGGGATCTGGGGAAAAAAATGGGGATTGGTCCTACTTTGAGCAGGGGGTTAGACTAGATGACCTCTTGAGGTCCCTTCCAACCCTGATATTCTATGTTTCCCAGCCTGTCATTTCATAAATGGTATTGAGATGTCAGCCCTTATCAAACTTGCTCTACCGTTGATGTCAGCTTTCATTGCTCTTGGCTGCATCTTCGTGCTTTCTCCCATGCCACCCACTATGTATGGGCAAAGCCTCCATTTTGTCCTTCAGATCCTTCCGTAAAACTCACCTCTGCCACAGTGTTTACAAAAAAAAGTCAGTGGTTAGGCTGCTGGTTTGCTGTGACAGCTGCTTATTATGGTGGTCAGAATCCTCTTGTTACTCTCTACTCCTGTATGATGTTTCAGTGTGTTGGCTCTTGTCTTACACTTTAGGGCAGGGATTGTCTTATGTTTGTACAATACTTAGCACAATAGTCTCTAGGCACTACTATAATACAACTAATAAATAAAAGATAGCACATACATCAGCTATGTAAGACTTTCCCCATTATCCTGTACCTCTACCCTAACATGCAGGGACCAACCCTTGTGTTTTGCTAAGGCTACCAATGAGGGTGAAGATTAATGCCTGTCTGTGGTTTCTATTTGGATACCTGTCCACTAGGAGCTACAGTGACACTGCCAAGGCAGGCCTCTGTCAGATGGTTTTTCAGTGCTTTCTGCTACTATTGATGGTGCCTTACGTTGAATTATGCCAGGTGCACGATTAAGGTAGGATTTTTAAAGGTGCTTGTTGATTTCATGGGGAGAAATTTAGACCAGCATTGAGTGCTTTTGAAAAAATCCCATGCTCTGGGCATAACTTGATGTATTTAAGCTTTGTTAGGTATCCCTAGAGTGTGCGGTTATTGACCTTGCTGGAATTGAATCAGTGACCTGGAAATGAAAGGCCCATTGCCAAATGTCCCCAGGCTCTTGACAGTCTTGAAATGGGAGGGGCACATGGTATCTCCCTCCTTTTTGTGCACATAACTCATGTTTTCTGCATGCCGCAGCTCCTTTAAAAACAAAATCTGCCTCCAAGGCTTGTGTCCTGCATATCCCTGGCCTGCCAGAAAGCAGATCAGCATGTGCAGTTTGAAGAAGTTGCTTGGTACAAACATTGTAATGATACAGTGGGTTGCTCTCTCTTGTCAGTTTGCAGGAAGAGAGGGTACAAGAAGAGGCATGTTTAAATTTGTGCAATTTCTTAACACTACTTCGGCATGAGCAAGCACTCAGATTCCATTTTAGGTGTGTGCACACCCATGTGCACAGTAGTCATCATTTTTTTGCCTTAGCGGTATCCGGAGGGCCAGCTGTGGCTCCCCCTGGAGTGCCGTAGTCATGCGCTGGTATATGAGAAGTCGCAGGCCTTACATACTCTGTTCTTCTTACTGCCCCTACAGTTGGTCAGAGTGACTTTGCCTCAGCAAGTGGATAATGATTTTTCCCAGCATCTATTGTCTGTTCTTTGTATATAGTTGTTTACAGTAGTTAGTAATTAGGTGTTAAGTTATAAGGCTTCCTTTAGTAAGCCTCAGCAGGGACTCCCCGGTCTCCAGGTTTCAAGCCTTGTTCAGCCTGCAGTAGGCCTGTGCCTGTTAGTGACCCTCATAGCCACTGCCCCTTGGGAGAGTAGCACATAAAGGACAAGTATTGAATTTTCAAGAACTTTCAACCCAAAACTCAAAAGAAGCGTGACATTCGTCTAAGGGCCTTTCTTATAGAGGCTGCACTTTGGCCGGCATCGGAGTCTTCCTGCTCCGACTCTACCCCTAGCACCTCCACATCAGTGAAGAGCGTTTTGCCCGGCACCAAGCTCTGCCCAGCACCACTCCCCTCTGCCAGTGTCCAAGAAGCACCTAAAAAAGTGAGGCTCCCTGGCACCAAGCAAGGAGGGATGGGGTATTGAGCAAAGGACCCAGTTTGGGCCATCTGCCCACTCCAGAGCCTTGAGGGGGTGCCTCTCCTGTTAGATCCCCCAGCCTCTCTTCTCCACCCCCCGATCCCACTCCTGGGAGCAGTAGGGGACCTTAGCACCTGGGAGCACCTTTGACGTTTGTTACCCTCCTGGCGCCTAGGGAGAAGAAAGCAATTCCAGCCACCCCTGCGTCCTAGGCCTTGGCCTCCCTGCCAAGTCTCCTTTAGGAGAAAAGAGAGAGAGACAGGGGGTTCAGTCATCATTGGGTGACTGGGAGGTGGAGGAGCAATCAGCCTGGCCTGGCAAGACACCAAAGGGGCCAGAAGCACTCATTTTGAGAATGCACTCAAGGACGGCACCCCAATCAGTTCTCAGAATCCACCTTCCTCAACTGCCTGTGTCCCTTCTAGTCGGCATGGTCAAAAGTAACCTCAGACCGTTGGGTGCTGAAGGACATAAATTCACACCGTGTAGAGGTCAAGCACAGGAGTTTATTACGTACAGCACTGGCGGAGTGTCACCTCGCTTGTTAGGCTCAGAGATACTGTCAATCAATTGATTACAATGGAATATATGGATTTCCCATGGGCAGGGGAAAGTGACTGGGTAGGCAGTCCTACACTGCCCCCCTGCCCCCACCCCCAGATAGGTTTAGCTGCAAGACATGATAGCACAGTAGCCAATGGTCAAAGGTTACATAATGTCTCCACCCATGGTCTCAAGTTCACAAATTAACATTTAGTTAATACTTTAATGTATTAGTATAAAAAACACAAATCCATATACCACATTATTACATCAGCAATGGATTTTAACCCTTCAGTCCCTCCTCTTGACCCTAGGGTTTCCTAACCCGCCAGGTCAAATATACCAATTTCAATGTACCCAGTCTATTTCGGAGTCACCGGTAAAGCACCAATACCATCAGGAATGTCAGGATAGACTCCCCACATAACTTGACAAAATAGCACCCAGATCCATCCCCAGGGGACCTTATCACCTGAGATGGCATCGCCAATGATCATCGTTTTAACCTCCCCTGCCTGGTTCTGCACCTTTGAGTACTTCACAGCGGCCTGGTCCACGGTTTCCCCTATCAGGGTGTACCTCAGACGGCCTTCCCTAATATATCTCTGGGCCTTGGCCACCAACTCCTCGATCTTTGCCTGCAGGGCCTGTAGACCCTCCTCTAGATACTTACTGCCGTAGTGACATTCCGGATCCCATGTTAGTTTACCCATCATTGGCGGAGTATGGTGGAGCTGCGTCCCATCAACAGTCAGGGTTGCCCTTCGGGAAACCGTTATGCACACGGCTGGATGCCTTGAGGGGCAGAGCTTTCCATTTAACTTGATGGAGTGGTATTGGGCAGTCACACACCAGTAGGTACAGTTCATCTGGACCAGCTCCGTGTGTACCAGTTTCTCCGTGATGGCCACTTTGAACGTAGACTGATTCATTAGAATATTATATGGGCATGTACACACAATTTCCTTATTCAAGTGGGTGCAACGTTCAATAGGATGCAGTGCTCTCCCAGCAACCTTGGAGTATGCAACGCTTTCTATCTTAATAACATGACCCCTCCTCCATACTGGTATGGAGGTCACCATCCTGGCTTGCTGTAAATGAGGGATGCCCAGAGATACCAAAAGGTTAAAGAGTATACTGTGACCTGTCTAAACCGGTCTTTGGACTCTCATTGATTCTCTGTTTCCCTATGCCCACGGAGGGGTACTAGGGACATAGGGTCCCACCACTTCCATAAGGGCTGGGTGGACCCGGCCATCAAGGAGATCAGAGATCAGTTACAGTTCCCTGTGTAAAGCCAAGCCATCGTGGCAATATGCCATGTAATTATGTTCAAATGAGGGATAACCCAGGACCTTGTATTCCCCTTCACTAGTAGTACGCAGCTGTCCCCCTTTAAAGGTAATCCGGACACTGGTTGCATTAAGTATAGACACTGTCCCTCTAAGAGGGCCACAGCATCGTCTAAGGGTGTCACCCTGCTCAAAGGGGTAACTCATGTACTTCCTGAGTCCTTCCAAATGCCTCCATTAAACTCCATAATCTCTGGCACCTGACACCCGCGAATAACAGGGCAGTCAGCTGTTATCAAAATTGTAATGTTACTAGTCTCCCTGTTGTTATGAGCATCAGTGTATGATTTTATTTGGACCTTTTTACGTTCCACGTGTGCTCATGTCCTAACCATAGTGCCACCATTACCTCTGGCCAGACTTGTTTATTGGCCACTGCATGTGTTCTGCAAAAGCTAAGTTTCTTTAGTGCGGCAATTAAAGTGAAGCAAACCCGGAGGAGGGGGGTTAGTGACCCATTCCCAGTCCTCCTTTTCACATGGCACACTGCTTGCGTCCTTCCACATGCACCACAGGGACAGCAGGAGCCTCCCCATGGTCACTCCGGTTGTCCTGGTCACCCTTCAGTCCTTCCTCCTTCACTTCCTTTTGTTCACCTGTGGAAACATTGTTAGTATTGACAGATGCTGATTCAAACAATTTCAACTGATTTTGGTGCCTCCAAAATGTTCCCAATTTCCCCTCAATCTTTGCACATGTATTAGTAGTCAGAAGGACCCTCAAAGGGCCTTGCCATCTCGGCTTTAAAATTCCTTTAACCTCTGGGTAAATGCGACACATTACCAAATCCCCAACTTTAAATGCAGGTTTGTCCAAAGTGCTGTTATCATCAAGTTGGGTTTGATTTTCTTTCACTTGGTTGTATAGATCCTTTAACTCTCTGTCCAACGCCTTGATGTAGTTCTGCAGCCTGTCTGCAAAAAGCCACGACGCTCCCCCTCCCCCTTCCCAGAGGGAGGATCACAGTGCTAGGCATTCTCATTGCTCTTCCTATCATTCGCTCAAAGGGCGTGAGCTGAATCAGCCTGTTTGGGCTGCCTCTGATTCGATACAATACAACAGGGAGCATACTAGCCCATCCTTGTATCCAGTACTGCTTTTGTTAAGGCTGCTTTCATTGTTCTATTCATTCTTTCCACCATTCCCGAGCTTTCAGGGTGGTATGGTATATGGAATCTTTGCTTTATTCCTAGTGCCTTACATGCCTTTTTCATTACTCGCCCTGTGAAGTGAGTTCCTTGGTAGGAGTCTATTGACAGTGGCAGACCCCATTTGGGTATTATTTCTTTTGCTAGGATTCGAACTACTGTTGTGGCAGTGCAGTTCTTGTTTGGGAATGCCTCTAGCCATCGGGTAAAAGTGTCAATAATTACCAAAATGTAAGTGTACCCCCTGCTTTGTGGCAAGGGTTCAGTAAAATCAATTTGCAGATTCTGCCACGGTCCATCTGGTCATGGTTGGTGATTCAGGGGCACCTTTTTCCTTCTACCCACATTCACTTGTGCACATGTCATACATCATTTGAGAAATAATAAAGCATCTTTTTTCATAGAGGGCCACCACCAGTGTTCCTGGACAGCTCTCATTTGTCTCCACCCCAGATGAGCTAGAGAATGGATGGCATGGAGCAGCAGAGCTTGTATGCACTCCGGGGCTACCAGCTCCTCCCCCCGGCCCATACCAGAGATGATTTTTATACACACAACGTGGCTCTTCCAATTTATTTTTTTTCTTCTGGGCTTATGGTTGCATATAGCTTTTTTTAAATTCACTTCCTCTTCTGGCACTACAGCTGCACAAATCTTAATAGGACTTGCTTGTGCAATTTCTTTGGCCCGTTTATCTGCCCAGTAATTTCCTTTTTGTTTCTCGCTTGAGATTTTATTATGTGCTTTTATCTTTACTACTGCCAGTTTTGATGGTAGTTTGGTAGCTTCTGTTAGTCTTCAAACTGCCTCCATATTCTTAATTGGCTTGCCAGTTGTTGTTATAAACCCTCTACGTGACCACATGTCAATGTAGTCATGTACTACTACGAATGCATATCTGCTGTGTATACAGTGAGCTTCTTATCTTCCCCTACTCTCAAAGCTTCAGTGGGGGCTGTTAGCTCCGCTTCTTGTGCTGACTTTGATCCTTCCGTCTGACCTGATGCTATTACTGTCCCATGACTGAGTACCACTGCCCATCCGGTGTGTGGCACTCCATTTTCGTACTTTCTTGATCCATCTACATACAGAATTTATATCTGAATTCTCTAATGGCTCTTCTTTAACTCTCCCCAACACTTCCTCTTCCCTATCTATAAGACATGCGTGTACCTCTCCCTCTGTGTTCAGATATTCAGCTACATTTATTCTTTGTCCCTTACTATAGAGAAATTGGGGTTTTGCAAGCACAATATTTATTCCCACTGACTCCTGCGGGCATCTGTTACAGATCTTAGCCGTCCGGTATTAAGGAGATCAAAAAGTGTATGGGGTGTATATAACACTCGTTTCCCCCTGAGAATGTATGATTCACAAGCTTTTACAGCCTGCCCATATGCACTCTGGTAGTCTCTGGGACACAGGGGATTAATACAGCTGAGTATTGAGTTTCACTATGGCTGCAATAAAGGTGGAACAGCTTTCCCATATCTGGTAAGCTCAGGCTGGGGGGCGGAGGCTAAAGCCTGTTTTATTTTTATAAATGACTCCTCTAGTTCTGTGCCCCATATTACTAACTCATTTGCAGGCTTTCCTCCTCTAGTGAGGCTTTGAATTGGTTCCACCATCTCTGAGTACTCCAAAATATATATTCTACAGAAATTGAGGAGTCCCAGCACCTTCCGGACTTCCTTAACTGTCCGTGGTTTTTTTAACTCTCTAATTGCCTGCTTTCTGTCTGAGTGCTTTCTCTCCCTGTCATATGTTATGCCCTAGGTATAAAACCTGCTGCTGTTGCAATTAAGCTTTTTTCACACTTAATTTAAATCCTGCCTCGCGAAGATATATAAACAGTCTGTTTAGGGTTTTTAAATTGTCCTTTTCATTTGAACTGGCAATTAGCAAGTCATTTACATACTGCAATATTACAGGTTTCAGAGTAGCAGCCGTGTTAGTCTGTATTCGCAAAAAGAAAAGGAGTACTTGTGGCACCTTAGAGACTAACCAATTTATTTGAGCATAAGCTTTCGTGAGCTACAGCTCACTTCGTCGGATGCACAGCTCACGAAAGCTTATACTCAAATAAATTGGTTAGTCTCTAAGGTGCCACAAGTACTCCTTTTCTTTTTGCAATATTACAGTATCCCCTTCCAAAGGCACTTCTGCTATTACTTCTGCCATCGCCCTGTGGAAGATAGAGGGAGAATTATAGAACCCCTGGGGTACTCGGGTCCAAGTGTACTGCTGGTCTCCCACTGTAAATGCAAATTTTTCCTGACTCTTTTGCAAGGGGAATACTCCAAAATCCATTAGCTATATCCAGGACTGAAAAAAGAAAAGGAGTACTTGTGGCACCGATGAAGTGAGCTGTAGCTCACGAAAGCTTATGCTCAAATAAATGTGTTAGTCTCTAAGGTGCCACAAGTACTTCTTTTCTTTTTGCAAATACAGACTAACACGGCTGCTACTGTGAAACCTGAGAATACTGAGTGTCCTGGTTTTAGCAAATTAAGAATAGTGGCCGGGCTTGCCACAATAGGATGTGCCTTTGGAGTCACCTGGTTAAGGTGGGTGTAGTCTATAGTTAACCTCCAGGTCCCATCTGGCTTCCGGATGGGCCAAATTGGGGAGTTAGTTGTGGAGGTGGTTTTTCTAATCACCCCTTTAGATTCCACGTTAGTGACTATAATTTTAACTGACTCTAAGGCTTCTGGTTTAATCGGGTACTGCCTGTGGGTTTTATGAGTTGGTCTTTCTACAGATATAGGCTTCATGTTTACTAGCCCACAATCTTGTTTATCTGTTGCCCACCCTTCAGGGTGAAGGGATCACAGTGTTTCTACTGGACTCGCCCCTCCCCCCCCCCCTTTCTGGTATTATTGCCTTATTACTGGCAATCATGGCTATATTTTGAGATGATCTCTCCTGTTTGGACCCTCCGGCCCATTTAATGCAGCTAGCTCTGGGGTTGATTACTCCCCCAAGCTCCTTAAGGAGATCTATGCCACAAATTGTGTCTCTCTGCTCAGGGCAAACCCAGATTTGACTGACTGTGACCATATCTTCAAATTCTATTTCTACTGGCTGGCTTAGGATTGCTTTTAATCTTTCCCCCTTCCACCTCTTCAATCCATATGGTTCGATGGGTGTGGGGGAGATCTTGGCTGGTTATCGATACCAAGGCTCCTGTGTCTATTAACATGTTGCACAGTCAGCCCCCCACTCGTGCATTAAGAAACATTCTGGGGTCATCTTTGGTTCCAGCCACAGAGGCTGCTGATACTTATTTGCTAGCCAGGAGTTTGAGCAACTCCTGGATTTGTTTATCTTTTTTGTTGTTCTTGTGTACTAGTTGTATCAGTTTTATTCTGCTTGTTTGGCCACTGGCCCTCCTTACACCCCCCCCCCCTCGCAGGGTGAAAGCAGTCTTCCTTTATGTGGCCACTCCTTTTACAATTGCTGCATGTTTTGATTTTATTTTTATTTTTACAGTCACATGCCAGATGTCCAGGCTTATTGCACGTGAAGCAGGTAGTGGTTCTGATTGCGTGAACTGCTGTAATTTCCTCAAAGGGGGTGGTTGCTACTACCTTCCTCTTTTTTCTGTTTTCTACTTCTGTGGCCCATTTCAATACTGCTGAGTAGGTCTCTCCCACTGAGATGCCTAATGCCAGGACTGCTTGGTGGTCTGCAGACAGCCCTTCCTTTAGGATTTGGAGGAATACATCATGGTCTCGGGATGTTATATTCTCCAGACCTGAATAAGCTCGGAATGCATTCCATTTCTTTTCAGCATAAGACATGGCAGGCTCCCCCTTCTGCTGAACCACTGATTGCAGAGCCCCCCAGTCAGTGGTCTGGGCTTCTAGAGCAGCAGATAGTGCATTTTCTGAATCCTGTTACACTGTCTGGGTTTGGAATTCCTGCTGGTTCTCCAGCCTGATCCCCCTCCCGCAGTGTTGGAGTTATGATCTTCAGCCCAGTGCCCCATCTTCCATTTATTTTCTAAGTTGTCCCACACATCCTGGGGCATTTACACTTTACCAGAATGTGAACGTCCTTCCTATGGGGGCCATGTATTTCAACCAGGCCATCCAGCTTGTCCCAGAACTCAGTATTCTTGTTATCACGTCTGAGTTCAGGTACATCAGACAGTAACGCCTGTTTTTCCTGGGGGGTGAAGGGACGATAGATTTCAGTTGTTTCTGTCCTGAGTCCCCTTACTGGTTCACCCTCCACATTAACATTTCTGAACCTCCTTAATTGTGTTTTGATTAGAGCCATAAGCTGTACTTGCTCCCCTCTGGCAATTAATCCTTGTGGTGCTCCTTTATTATCTCTGTGAGTGCTTAAATTTGGCCTTTCACACGAAGAAATGTATGGAGGGGGTTCAGATTCCTCCCCTTTGCTTTGTGCTGCTGAGTTTTCCCACAGATAGTTAATCGGTGGTGCAGTTGGCTGACAATTGCCGGGAGTGTGCTCTATCTGGAGGCGTGTCCCAGGCATGGTGAATGTAATTCGTTTGCTCTGGGATCTTTTCCAGTCTCCGGACAATTACATATTTTAAAGCACAAGCTCTTATCTTTCAGAGCTTTGTTCTCAGATTTTAAAATTGCATTTTTTCTTTGAGGTTGAGTATATCCAATAACACTGTTACTGCCTTGTCTGTTTTGTCACTTTTTTGGTTATTTCACCAAGTAACCAGATCCGCCTCTGGTCCGGCTGCCAAGTAGTTTGTTTTTTTAGCTGCTGTCTGCCAAGTTTTGACATGTTTATATTGCAAATACTCTCGAGGGCTGATTATCGCCTCTCCTTTTGATGCCATGGGTTTTTAGTCACCCCGGCTGCTGACCTTGTTTGGAACTTACATTTCCCCCCCCTCCAAATGCCGTAGTCTCAACCTCTACAGCCTGTCAGCCTTGATGGGGATTTACGTTTCCCCCTTTTTTCCTGAAAAACTGCAGTCTCAATCTCCATAGCTTGACAGTTTGATGAGGACCCCCCTTTTTGAATACCGCGCGGTCTTAAGTTACACACAGTTGCCGGCCTTATTGGTTGGAGATTTTGTGCTGTTCGAAAGCATGTACATCACATGCCGGGGGGGGCACTCCCCTGGGACTTGCAATGTTACTTGCAATGAGGAAATGGGACCACCAGTTTGCATTGCCTACCACTTGCATACCCAGCCAGTCCTGGGCTTAACTCATGGCCAATCGCTTGCTGGTGGTTTATCCAAGTCCCCCGTAACACCCCCTTAATTTAAACAGTACATGACCTTCTTGCACACGTCTCCCCTCCCAACTGGTACCCTTCTTTAACCCCTCTGCTTGGACTACACGTATCTCAGTTCCTTCACACTTAAATTTAAAAAAGTGGAAATGAAATGTGTCTGAAAGGGGATGAGAGACTTCTGTCCCTGGCCTGAGGAGGTGGTAAAGTAAACATACTCACCTTCTTTTTTGGATTTCGGTCTCAGATCCTCAGTCAGCTCACAAGCCTGTATCCCGGACAAGCCCCCAAACTGAAGGACATAAATCCACACTGTGTAGAGGTCAAGCACAGGAGTTTATTACATACAGCGCTGACTGAGTGTCACCTCATATGTTAGGCTCAGAGACCCTGTCAATCAATTGATTACAATGGAATATATGGATTTTCCATGGGCGGGGGAAAGTAACGGGGTAGGCAGTCCCACACCCTCAGATAGGTTTAGCTGCAAGACGTGATAGCACAGTAGCCAATGGTCAAAGGTTACATAATGTCTCTGCCTATGGTCTTAAGTTCACAAATTAACATTTAATTAGTACTTTAATTAATGTATTAGTATAATATATATAAGATGAATTCTGAGTTGGGGTCCCTAGGAATGAAGTAGCTCCTTTTGGCCAAGCAAAGAAACAGTGAAAGTATATGGCAATAAAGATTGTCTTTTAAGTTGTTCATTTGTGTTTTAAGGTAGGCATTGGTCCCTGGGAAAGGGAGGTGGGAGGAGGCCATATCTTACACTGACATGCTTGAACCTTTCATAAACTCAAGGTTGGATGTGTGGGAAGAACATCTCCCTACAGAAGAAACTAACACAACAGAAACAGGGCTTCTTTGTTCTATTTGCAACTTTGAATAAGACACAATTATTGCCCCCAATATCTGGCGTTTTGCTGACCAGGCATATCTTAGCAAAAGCAAGGTTATCTTTGGTTATTTTGCTTTCTCTTAGCTATTGCTAGGCCTCTGATCTCTTGACCAAACTCTGGACTTTGGGCCGAGATCAGGTACATTCCACATGTCATGATCTGGGCCTCTTAATAAACTAAAAGAAATCAACCCTAATACTGGCACAACAAACAGAATTCATAGCGGGGGCGGTCCTCAACTCCATGCGGGCAAGGGGCTTCCTCCCAGAGGCCCGTTTCTGAGCCATGACAGACCTGATCTTGCATGTGAGGGCCTGCCCGCTCACCACCGCTTACAGATGCCTAAGGTTGTTAGGCCACATGGCAGCCTGTACTCTACATGGTACGTCATGCCCAGCTCCATCTCAGACCCCTGCAAGCATGGCTGGCATCAGTCTGCATCCCCAAGAGGCACCTGGCTGATCTCAGCACGCAAGGTCATTGGTCACAAGATGATCTCTCCCTCCACATAAACATCAGAAAGCTCAGAGCAATTTCCTTGGCCAGCCAGGCTTTCCTGCCTCATTTGAGGGGCAAGGTAATCCAGATCCTGATGAACAACACCGCCACAATGTTTTATATCAACAAGCAAGGCGGAGCCAGGTCATCAGCGCTTTGCCAAGAAGTTCTTTGGCTGTGGGACTTCTGTGTGCAGCATGCCATCCATCTTGTGACAGTGCACCTCCCGGGGCCAGGAACATGTTGGCAGATCCCCTCAACAGGACTGTCTCATATCTCCACGAGTGGTCACTCCACCTGGAGGTGGTCAGCATGATCTTCCAGAGGTGGGGAACTCCCTGAGTGGACTTGTTCACGTCCAGATAGAACAGGAAGTGCCATGTATTCTGCTTAATTTGGGGGATCGACAGAGGCTCCCTGTATGATGCCTTCTTACTCCTGTGATTGGGGGCCCTAATGTATGCCTTCCTACCAGTGTCTTTAATCAACAGGGTCCTCATGAAGATCAAGCAGGACAAGGTGAGGGCTTGGCCTCGCCAATACTGGTTTAGCACAGTGCTGGACATCTCGGTGGTTGCTCTGCTGCCGCTGCCACTCTGGCTAGACCTGCTGTCCCAGAACCACAGCAGACTTCTGCACCTGAACCTGGCCACGCTGCACCTTATGGCTTGGCTGCTGCATGGTTGAATGCAGAGGAGCGGGAGTGCTCGGACCGAGTCCAACAGGTACTGTTGGGGAGCAGGAAACCTTCCACCAGGGCTACCTACCTGGCCAAATGAAAACAGTTCACGTGTTGGGCCTTGGACCAAGGTCTCCGGCCAAAACAGGCCTCACTGCAATCGATCCTGGACTGTCTTCTACTCTCAAGCTACAGGGCCTGTCTCTTTCATCGATCAAGGTCCACTTAGCCTCTATTTTGGCCTTCCACGCTCCATTCCGGGGCAGGTGAGTCTTTGCTCACAACATGACAGACCAGTTTCTAAAAGGTCTGGAGTGGCTGTATCCTCGGGTCCATGATCCTGTCCCTCCTCAGGACCTGAATCTCATACTGTCAAGGCTCAAGGGCCCCCCTTTCAAGCCATTGGCTTCCTTCCTGTTCCCTTCTTCTGCTTTCATGGAAGGTCTCATTCCTCATGGCAATAACATCAGCCTGTAGGGTCTCTGAGATTAGGGTGCTTACCTCGGAGCCGCCCTATAAGGTGTTCTACAAGGACAAGGTTCCGCTGCAGCTACACCCAACTTTCCTGCACAAAGTAGTTTAACAGTTTCACACCAGCCAGGACATATGAGGTTTTGGAAAGAAGCCTGGTAAGTATACGTCATATGAGCATAGATTATACTCTCTGGATGTCGGGGAGGCTCTAACTGTTTACACCAGTGGTTCTCAAACTTTTGTACTGGTGACCCCTTTCACAAAACAAGCCTCTGAGTGTGACACCCCTTATCAATCATTTTATACATTTAACACCATTATAAATGGTGGAGGCAAACTGGTGTTTGGGGTGGAGACTGACAGCTCACGACCCCCCCATGTAATAACCTTGTGACCCCCTGAGGAGTCCCAACCCCCAGTTTGAGAACCCTTGGTTTACACAGAAAGGACTAATCCATTCCATAAGTCAATGCAAATATTCGTCTTGGTGGCAGACAGGATGGAAGGGCCTTCTTGTGTCCACCCAGAGAATTTCATTATGGATCACCACCTGCATTTCGTTTTTGCTATGAACAGGCGAAAGTGCCCCCATGGACGATTATAACTGCCCACTCAACCAGGGCATAAGCCTCGGTGGAGGCCTCCCTGGCTCAGGTGCCAATCCCAAGATATCTGCAGAGCTGCTGCCTGGTCGTCCATCCACTTGTTCATGTCCCATTACACACTTACCCTGCAAGCCTGGGATGATGTTGGCTTCGGTAGAGCAGTGCTATAAGCCGCGCAACTGTGAACTCTGAGCCCACCTCCAAGGATACTGCTTGTGAGTCACCTAGAATAGAATCGAAATGAGCAAGCACTCAGAGGGAAAAAATGGTTATCTACCTTTTGTAACTGTTGTTCTTCAACATGTGTTGCTTATATCCATTCCACTACCTGCCCTCCTGTCCCTCTGTTGGAGCTGCCAGCAAGAAGGAACTGAGAGGGCGTAGGGCCGACAGAGCCTCATATACTCGCACTTGAGCGTGGCACTCCAGAGGGCACCATAGCTGGCCTTATGGATACCACTTAGGCAAAAATGTCTGACAACTGTGCACGTGGGCGCGCACACACCTAGAATGGAATGAACATGAGCAACACATCTCGAACAACGGCTACAAAAGGTAGGTAACCATTTTTCCTCTCTGGACGCTCATTTTCACCATCCCAATAAACTAGCTTTCTTTCCTTGTCCTCTTAACAGGCCGAAGGGATCGGGGTTGAGGATGAGAGCAGGGGAAGTAGAGCCCTCTTTTATAACCAGAAGCAATTAACAGTAAACAAACATTGAAAGCTAAACAGCCGTTTAGATTAGGATCCATTGTTTAGGACTCAGCTTAGTAACAAGGATGGCTAGTGGTTGAGGAACAACAGAACAGCACTAGAAAGCTTGTCTACCCCACTGTCTTACTGATGCACTAATATTTTTAAAGCAGTATTTTCTGTAAGAGGAAAAGAATGAAGCCTCCAAAAAGTAGCCCCATCTACACCTTTGATCTTCAGGTGAGTCAGCCAGATCTTACGATCAGTGGTATCAAAGGCAGCAGATAGCTCTAGTTATCTCTGATTGAGAAGAGGAGATCATTGGTCAGAGCCATAACCACAGTAGAACCCAGACTGTGAGGGATCAAGGAGGTCAGAGGCATCCAGCTACAGGGAATATGTCACAACTTTCCCACTCCTAACTAAAACAGAAGATTAGAGCCTAGTCAATAATTTGACACATTGTCAAGGTCAAGAGCAGGTTAACTGGTGAAAAAATAGCCAGGTCCAGGTGCTTCATTTTTTCTGTCTTAGTATAATACTAGTATGATGATCCCACTCTGTACTCTTGCCTCCCCCAGTACAATGGTTTTTCCATAAAAAATTATAATCCTCTACTGAGTTTGTAACGGTAACTCACTTTCATTAGCAAATTGCTTGTGGTCCATTCTTAATCCTCATGGTTGTTGACAGAGTATCATTCGTTGCTGTACTTAAATGCACTATGATGCTCACTATCTTTTGTCAAAAATATCTCCTATGTGTAGCCTCTCCTTTTTGAAGTCAAGGTTGGTGTTTTGTTAACACTGACTTCAACAAGCCCTGGTTACACATGCTGTGCTCAGTTCTTATGCTTTTGAATTATATTTTCCTGCCCTATTAGGTTGAATGCCTCTCAGTTTAGGACAACTCCAAAGAAAATAAAATGGTTAATCCTACTGATGGTTTCTTTCAATCTCTCCCTATCTTCTGTCATTGTTGAAGTTTCTGTGCGGAGTTTGCTCACCCTGAATTCTATGACTTAAGATATGGGAGACATGGGATGAAATCCAACCTATTTTTAGGCAACGGCAAAACTCCTCCTGACTTAAGTGAGGGCAGGGTTTTACCCACAGTGTCTAAAGAGTAGACCATCAAGAATAGCTCCTCTGCATTTCCTCCCAAAGCGTCTGCTTGAGAATGTGCAGTCAGTCTTCCAGCGAGAAAGGAAGGGATGTGTGCAGTGTTGGGAAAGCTGATGTCCTGCTGAATTATTTTGTCCCAACTGGGCTTTCTTTCTATCATTCAGAGACGGGCGAGTGCTGGGTGTGCTGGAGGTTTCCCGCTCCATTGGGGATGGACAGTACAAGCGCAGTGGTGTCATTTCTGTGCCGGATATCAAACGCTGCCAACTCACACACAATGACAGGTAAAGCATGTCCAAGTAGAGGGTAAAGCAAGGTATGTGTTCATTGCCATTTCTGTTTAGCAGTTCATAATGCAGAATCTTCTCAAGTCAGGTCACCAGAGTCTCCTTATTCTCATCACTGTGATGGCTCTTTTCTTACATTTTGTTTTTTGATGGAGAGTTAATTGGAAGGGTTCATCGTGTGTGGACCTGTGTATGCATATGTAGCAATTACAGAACTACAGACGGACTAAACCCCTGCACTAAACAGCTTACCATCTACAGTAATTCAAATGCGGTATTATTGGCAGGGCTGATACCTCCTATTATTAAGGTTGCCTGAAAATTCCTGCTTTTAAGACCCTGTTTTCATTTGCTTGTAAATTTGCCAAATTCTTACCATTTGGACTGAAATGTTGCATGTGGGGGCATGCCTCAGGCTTAACTATCTTGGAATCATAGAATATCAGGGTTGGAAGGGCCCTCAGGAGGTTATCTAGTCCAACCCCCTTCTCAAAGCAGGACCAATCCCCAACTAAATCATCCCAGCCAGGGCTTTGTCAAGCCTTACCTTAACCTCTAAGGAAGGAGATTCCACCACCTTCTTAGGTAACCCATTCCAGTACTTCACCCTCCTAGTGAAAAAGTTTTTCCTAATATCCAACCGAAACCTCCCCCACTGCAACATTACTCCTCCTTCTGGTATCTGGTACCACTGAGAACAGTCTAAATCCATCATTTTTGGAACCCCCTTTCAGGTAGGTTGAAAGCAGCTATCAAATCCCCCCTCATTCTTCTCTTCTGTAGACTAAATAATCCCAGTTCCCTTAGCCTCCCATAAGTCATGTGCTCAAAGCCCCCTAATCATTTTTGATGGACTCTTTCCAAATTTTCCACATCCTTCTTGTAGTGTGGGGCCCAAAACAGTACTCCAGATGAGGCCTTACCAATGCCAAATAGAGGGGAATGATCACGTCTCCCAGTGTGCTGGCATTGCTCCTACTTATACAGCCCAAAATGCCATTAGCACCTTGGCAACAAGGGCATACTGTTGACTCAGCTTCTTCTCCACCGTAACCCCTAGGTCCTTTTCTACAGAACTGCTGCCTAGCCACTCGGTCCCTAGTCTGTAGCAATGCATAGGATTCTTCCATCCTAAGTGCAGGACTCTGCACTTGTCCTTGTTGACCCTCATCGGAATTTTTTTGGCCCAATCCTCTAATTTATCTAGGTCCCTCTCTATCCTATCCCTACCCTCTAGTGTATCTACCACTCCTCCCAGTTTAGTGTCACCTGCAAACTTGCTGAGGGTGCAATGCACACCATCCTCCAGATCATTAATTAAGATATTGAACAAAACCGGCCCCAGGACCGACCCTTGGGGCACTCCACTTGATACCGGCTGCCAACTAGACATGGAGCCATTGATCACTACCCGTTGAGCCCGACAATCTAGCCAGCTTTCTATCCGCCTTATAGTCCATTCATCCAGCCCATACTTCTTTAACTTACTGGCAAGAATACTGTGGGAGACCGTATTAAAAGCTTTGCTAAAGTCAAGGAATAACATGTCCACTGCTTTCCCCTCATCCACAGAGCCAGTTATCTTTTCATAGAAGGCAGTTAGCTTAGTCAGGCATGACTTGCCCTTGGTGAATCCATGCTGACTATACCTGATCACTTTCCTCTCCTCTAAGTGCTTCAGAATTGATTCCTTGAGGACGTGCTCCATGATTTTTCCAGGGACTGAGGTGAGGCTGACTGGCTTGTAGTTCCCCGGATCCTCCTCCTCCCCTTTTTTAAAGATGGGCACTACATTAGCCTTTTTCCAGTCGTCCGGGACCTCCCCCGATCACCATGAGTTTTCAAAGATAATGGCCAATGGTTCTTCAGTTACATTCGCCAGCTCCTTTAGCATCTTCGGACGCAGTGCATCTGGCCCCATGGGCTTGTGCTCATCCAGCTTTTCTAAATAGTCCTGAACCACTTCTTTCTCCACAGAGGGTTGGTCACCTCCTCCCCATAGTGTGCTGCCCAGTGCAGTAGTCTGGGAGCTGACCTTGTTCTTGAAGACAAAGGCAAAAAAACTGAGTACATTAGCTTTTTCCACATCCTCCGTCACTAGGTTGCTTCCCCCATTCAGTAAGGGGCCCACACTTTCATTGACCACCTTCTTGTTGCTAACATACCTGAAGAAACCCTTCTTGTTCTCTTAACATCCCTTGCTAGCTGCAACTCCAAGTGTGATTTGGCCTTCCTGATTTCACTCCTGCATGCCTGAGCAATATTTTTATACTCCTCCTTGATCATTTGTCCAATCTTCCACTTCTTGTAAGCTTCTTTTTTGTGTTTTAAGATCAACAAGGATTTCACTGTTAAGCCAGGCTGGTCGCCTGCCATATTTACTATTCTTTCTACACATCGGGATGGTTTGTTCCTGCAACCTTAATAAGGATTCTTTAAAATACAGCCAGCTGTCCTGGACTCCTTTCCCCCTCATGTTATTCTCCCAGGGGATCCTGCCCATCAGTTTTCTGAGGGAGTCAGTCTGCTTTTCTGAAGTCCAGGGTCCGTATTCTGCTGCTCTCCTTTCTTCCTTTTATCAGGATCCTGAACTTGACCAAATCATGGTCACTGCCTCCCAGGTTTCCATCCACTTCTGTTTCCCCTGCTAATTCTTCCCAGTTTGTGAGCAGCAGGTCAAGAAGAGCTCTGCCCCTAGTTGGTTCCTCCAGTACTTGCACCAGGAAATTGTCCCATACACTTTCCAAAAACTTTCTGGATTGTCTGTGCACTGCTGTATTGCTCTCCCAGCAGATACCGGGGTGACTGAAGTCCCCCATGAGAACCAGGGCCTGTGATCTAGTAACTTCTGTTAGTTGCCTGAAGAAAGCCTCGTCTACCTCATCCGCCTGGTCTGGTGGTCTATAGCAGACTCCCACTTCTAAACTTAATCCAGAGACACTCAGGTTTTTCTGCAGTTTCATACTGGAGCTCTGAGCAGTCATACTGCTCTCTTACATACAATGCAACTCTGCCACCTTTTCTGCCCTGCCTGTCCTTCCTGAACAGTTTATATCCATCCATGACAGTACTCCAGTCATTTGAGTTATCCCACCAAGTCTCTGTGATTCCAGTCACATCATAATTCCTTGACTGTGCCAGGACTTCCAGTTCTCCCTGCTCGTTTCCCAGGCTTCTTGCATTTGTGTATAGGCACTTGAGATAACTCACTGATCATCCTGCTTTCTCAGTATGAGGCAGGAGTCCTCCCCTCTTGCGCTCTCCTGCTCATGCTTCCTCCTGGTATCCCACTTACCTCAGGGCTTTGGTCTCCTTCCCCTGGTGAACCTAGTTTAAAGCGCTTCGCACTAGGTTCGCCAGCCTGCTTGTGAAGATGCTCTTCCCTCTCTTCGTTAGGTGGAGGCTCTCTCTTCCTAGCACTCCTCCTTGAACATTTCAGACATAACAGAATGAGGCTAGAGAAAAATACATTATTTTTTGCTTATGTTAAAAATTCAGGCAGATATTCTCTTGAACTGCTAGCACCCCATACCCTGGAGCAGTGACTTGATATTTGGTAGAGAGGGATGTACTTTTGCCATCCCTATGAAAATGTGCTCAAATTCAGCCAAGATGATATAAGTCTTTGAAAAATCATCGCTCACACATGCTCAGCAAAGATTTACTAAAACATCACAGCTAATATCTCCAAAGATTCTGTCTGCACTAGGCATGCTCCATTCTGGGGCTAGAGCAGACTTCCCTTACAATTTTCACTCTGCTGCTGGGGGTCATGCCAGGGTCAGAGTTGGGAGCCAAAATGGAGACCAGGGGACTCTTGTGCTCAGTGCTCCCCCCTGCTAGTTCCAGGCAGCATGGAGGAGGAAAGTGCCTTATTTAAATGCAGAGGGGACCTGAGCTGGAAGGGATGGGCAGTAGAATGGAACAAGGAGAGGGGACTGACTGGGAAACTGTGGTGTGGAGACGGGAGGGGAAATCAGAGGAGATACCTGATGAGTCAGGGTGGGAAAGGGGACTAATTCTGGCTGGGGAAAGACATCAGAGTCAAGTTAGGAAATGCCTGAATTAAGGGTGCTTGTGGAGCCTTTGAAACACTAGATGCTGTAATGTGGGATGCCCTGGTGGTTGTACTGGGGCACCAGCCCTGCTGATACCCCTTATATTCCCTTGCTTTTATCCACTTCTCAGGGGAGAGAGATGGAAGAACAGAACTTTCAAGGGAAGAGCGAGTTCCTGCAGGAACAGAAATAACTGTATATGGGCAGCACACAGTGACTTTGCATAACAAGTCATTGTATTCATTGTTTGTAGAGCCCCATCATATGTCCTGACATAGGAACTCTGCTACTCCATCTTTATTACACTTTTAGCAAGTTCTCTAGTTTGTGTGTAGGCAATATGTAAGGAGGATACCCTCTGGGGGCAGTGCTGATAGCAGTGCTGTAGTTTGAAAACTACAGTCGTATTCTCATGCTCCCCTTTTCACCCATTCCGCTATAAAGTGGTGATTCTGAGTCGCTTTTACTCTACCTGCAGAAGCAAGGATTAAATTGCATCAGTTTCCAATCACCCATTTTGGAAAGTCTTCCTCAATGATTCTAACAGAGGGCATCTAGTAAAATAAATTGGGGATTTTGTAGTTGGAGGGTGGAAGGGCCTACCCATATTGCTAGGGCCCTACCAAATTCACGGTCCATTTTCGTCAATTTCACGGTCATAGGATTTCAAAAATCATAAATTTCATGATTTCAGATATTTAAATCTGAAATTTCATGGTATTATAATTGTAGGAGTCCTGACCCAAAAAGGAGTCGTAGTGGGGGGTTGCAGTACTGCTACCCTTACTTCTGCGCTGCTGCTGGCGGCAGCGCTGTCTTCAGAGCTGTGTAGCTGGAGAGTGGTGGCTGCTGGCTGGGAGCCCAGCTCTGAAGGCAGCACCACCACCAGCAGCAGGGCAGAAGTAAGGATGGCACGGCATGGTATTTCCACCCTTACTTCTGCACTGCTGCCTGCAAAGCTGGACCCTCTGTCAGCCTCCGCCACTCTTCGGCCACCCAGCTCTGAAGGTAGTAACGCAGAAGTAAGGGTGTCATGGCATGGTATTGCCACCCTTACTTCTGCACTGCTGCTGGGGGGGCGCCCAGCTCTGAAGGCAACGCAGAAGTGAGGATGGCAATATCGCGGGGGCCCCTGGCAACTCCCTTTTGGGTCAGGACCCCTAATATGAGAAAAACTGGTCTCCCCTGTGAAATCTGTATAGTGTAGGGTAAAAGCACACAAAAAACCATATTTCACGGGGGGGGGACCAGATTTCATGGTCACAAATTTGATAGGACCCTACGTATTGCCTAGCGTTGATTCTCTTTCAGGTTCATTATGCTGGCCTGTGATGGCCTCTTCAAGGTCTTCTCACCAGAAGAAGCTGTGAACTTCATCATGTCCTGCCTGGAGGTGAGGAGAAGGCAGCTCTAGGGTGGACTTGCATGTGCAGTTTCATCAGTGCAGAAGGTGTGAAATACTAGCATGCTGGGAAGAGGACAGCATAGAAGAGAAATACACTTTTAGGTGGAGCCAGTGTGCTCTGGCAGGTTATTGATGAGAGCTATTCTAAAATACTGTAGGATTTCCCCATTCTCAAATGATTGCTTATTGCCATTATTTGTCCTGTTTAACCCATCTGTGCTTCATGGGACCATCACCATTTTATTGTCTCCCAGCCCCAGTATGAAGGAGAGTTGCTCCTTAGCCAGTATGAGAGAGCTTTCCTTGCACGTTATTAAATTCCATGTATGAGCAATCTGGGCTTTTTCCTAGAGCTGGAAGAAACAGAATCCTGAAGAACAGGAGGCTGTTTAGTGTTGCCCACGTGAAGTTGTGATTGGATTATGCAGCATAAAACTGTAGTCCACATGAATGCAGAGCAGTGTGAAATGTTTATGCTCAGCAGAACAGGTTTGTGTGAGTAGTATGGTCAACTTCCTGTTTCAACAGGACAAGAATATCCAAACACGAGAAGGGAAATTATCAGCTGATGCTCGATATGAAGCAGCCTGTAACAGGCTGGCCAACAAAGCAGTGCAGCGAGGTTCTGCGGATAATGTCACTGTAGTGGTGGTCCGGATCGAGCACTGAAGAAAAACATGCAGGGATGCAGTCCCGAGCTGCATGTGATGGATTTAAATGCAACAGCAAAGTTTGTGTGAGTGTGTGAGAGAGAGAGAGAGAGCGCGAATCTGGGGGGGAGGGGGCATGGGTCTCCTCCCTGGATGCTCTTCATTGTAAATAAACTTCTTTTTCTAATTGTTTTAGTTCATTTTTTTGTTTGTCATATTTTATAAATGAATTTCTGTACAGGACAGATTGCATTTCCTGCTATTACAGTTGGGGCTTCATGTGGAAATTCATCATTCAGTTTCAACTGCCTAATGAAAGTCTAAGCAAATCACAATTCTTAACCATAGGTATTGGAACTGTATTTGCAAGAACATGCCTTTTTATTATTGTAATTTTGAGCCAGTTAAACACAGCTGTGAGGGGAGGAGTGAGAGGAGACTGCCAAATAGAAATGGACAAAATCTGTAGGGAAAAGAACAATTGTCTTGAGGCTTTTAACAGTAATTGCAGCCAAAGGCAAGATCAAAACTGGATAAAAACCATGAAGTAGCTGCTGCTGTTGAATAACTGTTTGAAAACTACAGTCGTATTCTCATGCTCCCCTTTTCACCCATTCCTCTATAAAATGGTGATTCTGAGTAGCTTTTACTCTACCTGCAGAAGCAAGGATTAAATTGCATCAGTTTCCACTTACCCATTCACAAAGGGCTAGTCTACCACTCTGGAGCAGTGACTTCATTGTATTTAGACTAGCTGAGAATGGTATCTGTGTTATTAAGCATGGTTATGTAATATAAAGAAGAAGGTTGACGGATGCATCTGGTCTACAATTCTGAAATTCAGCCTTTGTACAAAATGTTTGTCAAGCCCAGGTCTGGTGTGAAATAGAGCAAAAACAGTGGAGGCACTTCCTCAAAAGCCATTTACTCTTTCAAAGAAAGGAAGAGAAATCCTGGGTGCTAACAAATCTACTGTCAGAAACTAAAGAGCAGGTTTAGGCTTGCCTCTGGTAATTGTGTAGTGACATGAACAGGCAGAGGATGAAATTATTTAGGGGCTTTGAAATTAATGTCGGGGGGGGGGGAAGAAAGTCACAAATGAGAGGAAAAATAACATCACTGGTAACAGTCCTCAGAACAAAAACTGAGCCTGCTCCTACTCCTCCTTTACCCATCCCCCATTTGTCTCAGCTTATCAAAATAAGTGGGGTTGTGGCAGGTGGGAGATGCCTGTAATGTAATGCCGGCTGGGAGTGTGACTGCCATCAGACAGGAGTGGATGGGGCATCTCTTAGCACAACTCAAGCCAGTTGCAGAAGTATATTCCATATTACAATATCATCCAATAAATATTTCCATAAAATGCTTTATACCATACATTTATCTATACTGCAGGGAGAGAAAAAACCATACAGGGCTCTTTAACCTGGAAAGTAGGAGTTTCGCAATAGCTGTAGCTTGGAGACAAATTGCAATCTGCTTTTGGAGGATCAAGGCTAACCTTAGCTTTATTGTAGTCAAAGATGGGAGGCCTGCTGACGTTCCCAGAGTAGGGTGGCCTAGGTGAGCAACTTACTGAGAGAACACCCAAGACAGTTTAGCTGTCTTCGTCTACACTTTTTATTTAATGTTTCAACACTTGCTTTAGTGTTCTGCTGTGAAGAATAGCAACCCATTATGATGACATCCTGAACAGAAGTCCATTTTGAACATTCTGCTGCTGTGCAGTGTTACCCCTCAGAGGGCATGCTGAGTTTTCTCTTCCTTCACTAAATAGCAATAGGCTGGGTTTATTTTAAGGACACAAGTAGATTTAAGCAACTAAGGGACTGTTCTGGTTCTTCAGCTGTTTGTCATGCTTGCTAGCAGATTGGCTCTGCAAGTTGCACCATGTCCCCTACTCCCACAGACTTCCCAGGGGACTGCTCACCTTGCAGGTTCAATGCCTAAGAGTAAACACCTGCTGTCCTTTTTGGATGCCTCTTCATCACAAGAAAAGCGGTATTTTTCCCTTGTGTTAACTACTGTAGTAAAATCCTAATGAAGACAAGGCAGTTAACTTGTGTGAAATAGTAAACTTTGGGAGTGTCCCTCTGATCTTACCTTCACCTGCCATGAGAAACCCTGACGTTTGCCTTGGTCTGCTGATTTGTGTGAAAGCTACAACATGGTCTGTGTTCACTAGGATTTTACCACGTAGTAAGAACACAACTTGTTTTCCTAGCAAAGAGAAGGCCTTTCAGGCTTGAATTCTTTGCGACTTCAGTGGGAGTTCAGCTACAGTAAAGACTGTAGGAATTTGGTGTGTAAGTTGCTACATACCATAAAAAGCTCAACTGGCTGCACCTAATTTTTGAACTTGGGGCTTATGTCCTACTTCGTATGTTACCAGGGCCCCAAATGACAGACTTGTAAAGCTTTTCTAAGACAACTGTTAGGGTATGGCTACACTGCAATGAAACACCCGCAGCACTGAGACTCAGAGCCCTTGTCACTTGACTTGGGCTGTGGGGCTAAAAATTGCTGCATAGATGTTGAGGCTCAGCCTGAACCTCAGTGTCTTCACTGCAATTTTAACCCCACAGCCTTAGACCTGAGCCAGCTGCAGCCATGCTGCTGGTCTTCTTTTGCAGTAGAGAGGTACTTATAGTTTTCTAACCAGTGAATTATAAGAGCTGGTTTGTAGAGAGCGCTAGTATTTTATGTAAAGGACAGCTTATGTAGCTTTTTTCTGAAAGATTTTGTGAAAGTGCTGCCCACAGCAAATGCTCTAGTCCGAGTTAACTTTGTTTCCTGAAACAGTTTGCTGTGAAAGCAGTTCCTCCAGCAGGACTGGAAAAGCTTTCTTGGTAGCAAAAATAAAATTCAGAGAGAGTTGAGCCCCTTGTCCTGCTATCATGAAGGTGGAGCTGAGTGCACTTCTAGGATATCTCACTGAAGTTTCGGCAGGAGCTCAGGAATTAAGTACATGGTACTAAGAAATGAGACTGCATCTTTTTCTTTCTCTGCCTTTGTTATTAATTTAGGGCCCATTCCTTCAGCCCTTATTTATGCATGTAGTCCCACTGGGTTAATCGGAGTTAGACTGCCTATCGGGACCAAAGCCAGGCGTAACGGTGCGTATCTCCACCACCCATTGACTGGGCTCTCTGCCATGGGCAGAGAATGGGGTGGTGGTGTGAGTACGCGGTTCTTAGGAAGTGGAAAATCACTGGATAGCAATTCACGTTCTAACTAGTCTGCTGCCTTATCAGGACACTGCTCTGCATTGAAAATTAACTTCCAAGTAGCAGCGCCTGCTGCTAGCAAACCCTAACTGATAAGCTATAAGAATACATAATCTGGCTTTGGCCTGCTCAAAAACTGAACAGAAAAAAACTGCCAAAGAGCTAGTCTATGGGTGAAGGCTTCTTCAAATCACCTTTTCCTAAGCATTCATGCTTGATGGGGTGGGGACGGGTTCCTTTATAAAAGTTGATCTGGCTTTAGAAGTCAGCCATGTTATAATTTGTCCATGTAAAATAAGCTTCAAAATCTGGCCATAGATTAAATTAAAGGGGGATGGATTTAGTGAGTCCTCCCTTTTTCATGCTTCCAATTTTCTTCCCATCATCTTTGGATGCTTGAGATCTTGTGCAAAGTACGGTGTCTGGTGGCTGGGTTTTGTAGCACAAGCAGAATCTATAGAGACTGCTGCTCCTGACCTCACTATGCTTTGCTCCCTGTGCTTGGGTGGGAGGGAATTAAGGTGGTTCTTGCCGAAGAGACCAATTCAGCTTATAGCGTGTAGGGGTAGGTGGTTTGAGACCATTCACACCCCTAAAAGAACAGCGCTGAAATCCGAGCCACTTCGAACAGTGAGGGATGATCCAGTGGCATTGTCTACAAAAACTGAGGCATACTGGCCAGCCTGAAAGGGAGAAATGAGAGTGACAGTGAAAATAGTCCCAGGTTGCTACAATCAGCACATAGAAGAGTGTGTCATGTAAATACAGCAGATCTATAGAACAATAATTATGTAGGTTGTGATACACTGCTTAAAGTTGTCACGTTTTACACTTAAAGCAGAACATGTCCCTTGTTCCAGCTCCTCTGGGTATGGTCACGCTGCGCCACTAACTCCAGGGTGACCCAGACTGGTGGCCTCAGTGTTTCCAAGTTCATGCTTGAGTGTTCACATACTATTATAAACCTGGGTTTACAAGTGCTGGACTCATAGCTATGCTAACAGCCATACTGCAGATGCAGACCTTCTGACTTGGGTCTGGGGCATGACCTGTATCTATAGTACAAAATTACAGGACTGAGACACAGTGGGACTTGGGCTGACCCACCCTCTAGCAAGGTCATAGAACCTGGGTCAGATTGTGTGTGGGCTTGGGCTCAAACCTGTGTCAGAGCCTGGACTAAGTGTGCAGTGTTTATACCCTATATAGCATACTAGCTGCATCAAGGGCATTGTAAAAAGCCTGGAAGAGGAAGAAGAATTCCCCCACCACAGACAGAGTAGGCCCTGCCCTAGAGAATGCCATGGCTGAGTGGGCAGGGCTGCTAAGCTCATCCTGCACAGCGCTGCAGCCAGGACAGGCTGCTACAAGCCAATAGCACATGCTGGTTTGGTTCAGGGCTCAACCAATCTCCAAAATAGGATGGTTCTGAATTATCCACCAGAATGTTACCAAGTGGGAAATGCCAAAGTTAAGGTTATAATGAGGACTCTGCTGTTTTGCATCTCCTGTGTATTTTGTACACTCTCCAGCCCCACTTGAGCATGCACTGAAGCCTGCTGTCAAACAGATGAGTAGCCCCACTGAAATGTTGAAACTTACTTTTGCTGTTTTGCTAAACTATCCCCTCCTTTTCAAAACCAAACCCTTTGGGCTGAGACCAAACATCTGAATGTGACCGATCTGTATCACTATCAGGAAACACTAAAACAGTGCAGTGCAAAAGCTCTACCCTTTAGTAATGGGTGTCTGTCAATGGTGGGAGTTGGTCTATCAGTGCTATGGTGCATTATCCCTTTAGGTGCCTTAGGCAGCTGGCTTCCCCATTGTCTTGCACCTCATGTAGGCATTTACCCAATCAAAATAGTAGCATTTTACATGCACTTTATACAGGTGGTAATGACTACACAAACTGCCAGGCAGCGGGGAATCAGGCCTATGGTATATAGTACCAGAATAGTTGGCTGGTTCTATGGATATAAGCCACTAACTGTAGGCAAGGACACCCTAAAGACCAAACTCTGCTGTACTGTGGCAGGTCACTGCAGGGACTCAGGTCTACATCCTCAAAGATATTTAGGTGCTTTATCCTGTTTAAATCAGATACCTTTGAGGTTCTGGGTCTCAGCCCCCAGAGAGATGGAAGGCTGATCATGCCAATACTATAGAGGCTGGTTTTGAAAAATGATGCAGAGTCAGACTGAGGAATGAGCTTCCTGCCCAGCCACAGAGGAAAGCCAGCACAGCTGGCAGAAGCATGTGACTGTCATCTTCACAGGTTGGTTCCAGTAGCACCCACAACACAGGGCGCTTTCTGTAGAAAAGGACACGGCCACCTGCATTGAAGAGCTTGTAAACCACAGTGGCTTTCTGCTGCACTTGGGAATGGATGTGCTCAATTAGGGCATGTCTGCAACGCAGTCGGAGGTGTGATTACAGATGGGGTAGGTATACTCCTGCTCGCTTTGAGCTAGCTAGCATGCTGAAAATAGCATGGACTTCAGCACGGGCTGTACAAAGCTGCCTGGCCCTCCATGGGTAGAGTTACTGTGAAAAGTTAGCTGCCCAGTTATGCTGCATTCTCATCTCAATAGCATACTGCACAAGGTGGGTCTGCCCATAGGAACACCCCTTTGCCTCATTAGTTTGCCCATGTTTACCTGTAAGTACAGGACTCCACTGACTGAGATGGTGAAAAGTTCACTGCTGTCCAAACCAGCCACTGTCTCCAGAGAACTGAAGACAAGAAACAGCAATATCAGCACTGAGGTGACCTGCGCGATCCATGTACCACCAGAATTCACCTACTAGCCAGTTATCTAGAGTAATAGAGAGTGATTGCCTCCCGCATCCTCAGTTCCAGACATTAAAGAGATGGGGAGGACTGCACAATGACCTGGCAAACTTGTCTCCTCTCTGCAAAGTTGCTCATCACCCTCTGTGTCATTATTTACATTTCATTCTAAATTTTGTTTTAAAAACCAAACCAAGTGTAGTACTCAAGAACAGACTTGGGCGCTTGACAGCCTTTTGCCACAGAGTAGGTGCAGCATGGTCAGAGGCTCAGTAGGCCTTCTCATGCCCCCATGCTGATATATTTATCTCAGCTCTGTTCTGGAGGGTTCATCCCATCCATCAATTTATTATGTGAACTAAGGGGCTAGCTAGCACACCTATAGGGATAGAGTGCTTTTCCCAACTAGGACATTGGCTCACAGAAGGTCACAGAGTTATGGCCGTAAGGGACCAGCAGATTACCCCCTCTGATCTCTATATTACTGGTCCCCTTCACCCCTCCCTCCCCCCAGCATCCACAGACTCAAACCAACAACAGACATTAGAAAAAAGTATTACAGCCCACAGGAGACTTGAGATATGCCACAGGAATAGACTAGGCAGGCCCAAGGTGCACCAGCACCCGCGGCCCCTGCAATGGCAGGGAAATGATTGTGAGATAGCTCCAGATAATCATGGACAGTGACCTGCCACACGCTGCAGAGGAAGGTGAAAAAGCCTCAACTCACTGCTAATCTGACCTGGTGGAAAATTCCTTCCTGACCCCATGTATGGCCATCTTACCCACCCTGGTTGTGGCTGGAAGCCATTACAATCTGATGGCAATGGGATCACTCATATGAAATGAGTCATAGAATCATAGAATATCAGGGTTGGAAGGGACCTCAGAAGGTCATCTAGTCCAACCCCCTGCTCGAAGCAGGACTAATTCCCAGGACCAATTCCCAGTCATATGAGTTGGGTTGATTTAGTTGAGGTTGGTCCTGCTTTGAGCAGGGGTTGGACTAGATGACCTCCTGAGGTCCCTTCCAACCCTAATCTATGATTTCTTAGTGACCAGCACAAGCCAGCCATTAAAGTTAGCATTCATGCTGACAGTGTCAGCAGGGGGCCAGTGATGGAAGGGGCATGGCACCTGACCTACCTTTCTGACTGAGAGGGTGTCCCTCCAGAACACTGTAAATATTCTATTTTCTAACTAACAAAGTTACATATAATTAAAATCCCATTTTAATAGGAGTTATGCAGGCAAAGACACTTGGGATACATGTGTAATAACATGGGGAGCTATATATATATATATATATAGAATGCAGGAGGTTTTTCCAACCTAATGGGATTTGGGCATTCAAATCCCCTAGGGAGCTTTGAAAATCTTAGCCCACATGCACACTACTAGCCCAGCTAGATGCATGGGTTCTGTATGTATATGCCTCCGATGGTAATGACAGATGCACAAGCCTCTTCTGGCACAATCCTTGCTAAAATTGGCCTCCTTTACAGTGCACCTTGTGGAGGTGAGATTTGGGGCGGTGCACTTTTTCTGGAAAACAACCCAGAGTTCTAGCTGAGCCCAGCATATTGAATTTAATTTGGTCCCATGCATGGACCAGCTCTGTGATCAGCTGACATTAGCCAGGAGGGGTTGACAACATTCCCAAATAACTAAATGGCACAACTCTGCAGGACTATGGTTTTCCTTGGTTTGTGGCACTGTTTTGTGAGCAGTACCAGACACAGAGTGCGTGCACTGTGGAAATATTTTTGCTCTTTGTCACAAAGCTATAGTGATGATACTTCATCACTCCCATGTTGACTACCAGACAGATAGGGCCCACTATAAACTATGCATCCAGGAACCAAAGTCAGATGTGGTCGAAGTTGCACATTGGTAAGATGCATGTAAGTAAGAGTGAATCTAAAGCCTGGTCTACACTAGGAACTTAGGTCAGTATAACTAAGGCTGTGTCTACACTGCCACTTTCAGCGCTAAAACGTTTGTTGTTCAGGGGTGTGAAAAAACACCTCTGAGCAACAAAAGTTTTAGCGCTGAAAAGCACCAGTATAGACAGCGCTTTATCACCGGGAGCTGTGCTCCCAGCAATAAAGCTACCACCGCTCGTTCAGAGTGGTTTTGTTTTTATCATTGTGAGAGCGCTCCCCCGGCAATAAAGTGCTGTAACATGGGCAGTGCAGACATACATTAAGTCACTTGGGAGTGTGAAAAAATCCCCGGAGCAGTCCAGTTCAACTAATCTAACTCCTGGTGTATACAGTGCTAGGTCAATGAGAGAATTCTCCTGTTGACATAGCTACTGCCTCGCAGGGAGGTGGAGTACAGTTAATTCAGATTAACCTTCCTAACAGTCCCCATGCAGACAAGCCCAAAGACTCCGCTATTAATTTGGCCCATAGAGCATGGTTGTGGTTAGAGCTGGCTGAAACTGGCATTTCCATTCCACAGATAATTCTGATTTTTAAAAAAAAAAAAAACATTCATTCCGAAATAGAACAAAATGCTGAAATTTCAAAATGTCCTGTGGAATGAAAATTTCAAAAACAATTTCCATTCATAACTATTGAAACATTTCATTTTGAGAATGTTAATTCACTTTGCTTTGACATTTATATATTAAAATATTAAATATATGTAAATGAACATATGATATCCGTTAAAAATCAAAACAAAATGAATCAAACTCATAATAAACCCCATTTTGACACTCTCAAAATGAACCAAGAAAATTGAAGAGTCATTTCAACTTTTTTGCTTCAAGCATGTCATTGAAATTGACATTTCTGTGAAACATGTGGATTTTGATGAAACTGTACTTTTTTGGTGGGAAACTGTTCCACTGACATTTTTTTGACAAGTAATAGCTGTGATGATACTGTTAGATCCAGTTACAAGCCCCAGTCCAGAACAGTGCTTGGTGCAGTTCAGGACTGGGGCGCATAAAGGACACACAAAGGTGACAAGCCAGTTGCTAGTTTTAAGTTAGATCAGCCTTAAGGCTGCTCTAGTTTAAACCCAGCTGCCAATGGCCCCCAGAGGCTGTTCAGGCTGCTAGGAATCACCAGAGTGCAGGGATACCCCAGACAGGATCTCTCTCTCCCAGCCAGATCCCCTACTCTGAGAGATAGGAAAGGGGATAGTGTGGAAGCAGCTACAGAGGCTCCAGGCTAAACTGGGATTTCCCCTACATAGGGAATCCTCCACCAGCTCCCAACAGCCACAGTGGTGCCATGATCTGTGTGCCCTATGCACTGTAGGCCCCTCCTTTTTGTGCACTCACTTTCTGGACTAAGATAGAGAAAAACTTCTTTTAAATGTAAAAACTGTCTGGCTGTGCTAGCAGGGAGGGCATGCCTCTACCAGGCACACTCACATGTTGTGTTGACACAGAGACTGGACGCAGATCAGTACCCGCAGGCGATCTCTCGCACGCTGTTGCCCTTTCTTCTGTTGTTCTCCATGAACTATAAACACAGAAGAGCTAATGAGACAGGGACGAGATGTTCTCAGAACTGGCAGCCTTAGGCCTCAGCCCCCAAGGGAAGCCCGACTTGCCCACACAGCTGGCCAGCCAGAATGCTCTGGTCGAATAGCTGGTTTTGGGCCCCAGCTGGTGTAATTTAGTGTAGCTGTATGGTTGTCAGTGGAAGTACACCAAGTCACACCCGCTCTATGTTGACTCCAATGGAACTATGCTGATTTACACCAGCAGAGGATCTGGCACAGTAACTTCAATGGAGGTACACTTACTTATGCCAGCTAGGTTTCTGTCCCAGAGAGTCCTGGAGGATGACTAGGTTGGAGTATAAGAATATTGCTCAAGCATGCAGGGGTGTAATCAGGAAGGCCAAAGCACAATTGGAGTTGCAGCAAGGTATGTGGAGTAACAAGAAGGGTTTCTACAGGTATGATAGCAACAAGAAGGTCAGGGAAAGTATGGGATTCTTACTGAATGGGGGAGGCAACGCAGTGACAGATGATGTGGAAAAAGCTGAAGTACTCAATGCTTTTTTTGCCTTGGTCTTCACAGACAAGGTCAGCCCCCAGACTGCTGCACTGGGCAACACAGTATGGGGAGGAGGTGAGCAGCCCTCAGTGGTGAAAGAACAGGGTAAGGACTATTTAGAAAAGCTGGACATACGCAAGTCCATGGGGCTGGATGCAATGCATCCGAGGGTGCTGAGGGAGTTGGCTGCTGTGACTGAAGAGCCATTGGCCATTATCTTTGAAAACTTGTGGCAATCATGGTAGGTCCTGGATGATTGGAAAAAGGCACATATAGTGCCCATCTTTAAAAGGGGGAAGAAGGAGAATCCAAGGAACTATAGACTGGTCAGCCTCACCTCAGTCCCTGGAAAAATCATGGAGCAGGTCCTCAAGGAAACCATTTTGAAGCACTTGGAGGAGAGGAAGGTGATCAGGAACAGTCAACATGGATTCACCAAGGGCAAGTCATGCCTGACCAACCTGATCGCCTTCTATGATGAGATAACTGGCTCTGTGGACATGGGGAAAGCGGTGGACGAGATATACCTTGACTTTAGCAAAGCTTTTGATATGGTCTCCCACAGTATTCTTGCCAGCAAGTTAAAAAAGTATTGTTTGGATGAATAGACGGGTAGTGATCAATGGCTCTGTGTGTAGTTGGCAGCCGATACCAAGTGGAGTGCCCCAGGGGTTGGTCCTGGGGCCAGTTTTGTTCAACATCTTCATTAATTATCTGGATGATGGGATAGATTGCACCCTCAGCAAGTTCACAGATGACACTAAGCTGGGAGAGGTATATAAGCTGGAGGGTAGGGACAGGTCCAGAGTGACCTAGACAAATTGGAGGATTAGGCCAAAAGAATGAAATTCAACAAGGACAAGTGCAGAGTCCTGCACTTAGGACGGAAGAATCCCAGACACTACTACAGGTTGGGGACCGACTGGCTAAGTGGCAGTGCTGCAGAAAAGGACCTAAGGATTACAGTGGACGAGAAACTGGATATGAGTCAACAGTGTGCCCTTGTTGCCAAGAAGGCTAACGGCATATTGGGCTGCATTAGTAGGAGTATTGCCAGCAGATAGAGGGAAGTGATTATTCTCCTCTATTGGGCACTGGTGAGGCCACATCTGGAGTATTGCGTCCAGTTTTGTAGCCCCCACTACAGAAAGGATGTGAACAAATTGGAGAGAGTCCAGTGGAGGGCAACAAAAATGATTAGGGGACATGCTTTATGAGGCAAGTCTGAGGACACTGGGCTTATTTAGTCTTCAGAAGAGAAGAGTGAGGGGGGATTTGATAGCAGCCTTCAACTACCTGAAGGGGGTTCCAAAGAGGATGGAGCTAGGCTGTTCTCAGTGGTGGCAGATGACAGAACAAGGAGCAATGGTCTCAAGTTGCAGTGGGGGAGGTCTAGGTGGATATTAGGAAAAACTATTTCACTAGGAGGATGGTGAAGCACTGGAATGCATTACCTAGGGAAGTGGTGGAATCTCCTTCCAACGAGGTTTTTAAGGCCTGGCATGACAAAACCCTGGCTGGGATGATTTAGTTGGGGTTGGTCCTGCTTTGAGCAGGGGGTTGGACTGGATGACCTCCTGAGGTCTCTTCCAACCTTAATCTTCTATGATTCCATGATTCAACAGCATCGCCATGCTGTGGTGCCAGGCAGCAGGAAAGCTTACCGATGTGCAAGGTGGCAGCGAAGGTGTAGTACCCTGCGACAGGTGCTGTGTATTGGCCGCTGGTCAGGTTCAGCCCCAGGCCTCGATGGAACACCCCCTCTTTCTGAGGCTAGTAACAAAGAGAAAGGCAAGACTGTGCACACTGCAAGACACCATCCCAATTCTGCATATTGCACTAGGAGATGGGCGCTAAGCTAGCAGTGTCCTCTCAGGAAACAGACATAGGCTGTGTCTGTAGTGCAAGCAGAGGGTGATCACAGCACACAGAATATAACTGTATCTACATTAGGCCTCTTACTGCCACAGTTATGCCATAAAATTTTTAAGTACAGACCAGGGCTAACAACATATTTGACAAATTTGTCTTGTTTTCTAGTTGTTCACAGATTATCTGACATCTGACCATGTTTGTTTTCAAATGTGTTTGTTACTCAGAATTATTCATCAGCTAATACCTGCAAGCAAACTTTGATCAGTAGGTTAAAAAGGGAGGATGGCTGGTGAAGGACTTTAGAAGGCTCAGAGTTAGGGTTGCCAGCTGTCCAGTTTTTGACCGGAAAGTCTGGTTGAAAGGGGACCTGTACGGTGTCCGGTCACAGGTACTGACGACACCAAAAGTCCAGTTACCACAGGTGGGGGGGGGGCCAAGGGAGGAGGCACTGGGTCATCAACCCACGCCAGTCCTTACTCAACTGGGGCCGTCTCCCATCTGCATCTCATGGGCGGACAGGCAGGCTCCAGTCCAGAGTAGAGAGGGTCCAGCTGCGGGGGGAGGCGCGGGGGGAAGGGATCAAGGAAGGGGAATTGGGGACAGTAGTGAGTGATGGTGGGGGCCTCAGGGGAAGAGGCGGAGCAGGGGCGGGGGAAGAGGTGGAGGGTAGAGGTTCCGGCTTTTCTGCTGTAGTGTCCGGTTTTCAGAAATTAGAAAGTTGGCAACCCTACTCAGAGTCCAATTCCTAGCTCTGCCACAGACTTCTTATGTGGCTGTGGGCAAGCTGCATAATCTCTCTTTGCCTCTTTTCCTCACCTGGAAGATGGGGATAATAGGACTCCTTTAGTCTTGTCTGTATACGTTGTAAAGCACAACCTATACAGACAGGGCAGGGAATTCTTCAGGGCAGGGAATTCTGCGTTGTGGTGACACTATGTGGAGAACTCGTGGGAAAAAACCACATAATTCTTAACTGTGAGTGTAGTATATGGCATCATTATAAGTCAGAGTTTTTAAGGTTGTTCTGGGTGTCTTAACTGCATTAACAGGTCTTAATATACAGTAGAACATCAGAGTTACGAACACCAGAATTATGAATTGACCGGTCAACCACACAGCTCATTTGGAACCGGACGTACACAATCAGGCAGCAGGAAAGACCAAAATAAAAGCAAATACAGTACAGGGCTGTGTCAAATGTAAACTACTGAAAAAAAAAAGAGAAAGATCTGACAAGATTAAAAAAATGATTTGACAAGGTAAGGAAACTGTTTCTGTGCTTGTTTCATTTAAATTAAGATGGTTAAAAGCAGCATTTTTCTTCTGCATAGTAAAGTTTCAAAGCTGTATCAAGTCAATGTTCAGTTGTAAACTTTTGAAAGAACCATCATGTTTTGTTCAGAGTTACGAACAACCTCCATTCCCGAGGTGTTCATAACTCTGAGGTTCTACTGTATCTAGATTTCATGTATGTTTAACCTTAACTCTGAATTTCCTGGTCTGTAATGCTTATTTTGGGGCTAAAAATAAAATCCCTGTAAAATTTTGTATCCTAAATTACTGATGTATACTCAGCCTTATCTCCATTGGTACATAAAAGTTTATCTAGGGATTTTAATTGGCCTGCAATTGGCTAGGAGGCTAAAAGGAAGTAACCCCCCTTCCCCCACCCCTGGCACACACACCTATAGTATGGCACAAATGGCAAGGAGCATTTGGGAGGTTAGGACCTGATCTAATGCTCACTGAAGTCAATGGGAATCTCCCCATAGACTTCCATGGGGGTTGGATTGAAGTTATATTCATCTTCCTCAAAGAGATCAGATGCTGGGAATATAGCTGTGAGAATAATGGATTTTTTTTAATTCACTAGCAATTCTGAAAAATTGGGGAAAAAAAGAAGACGCAATTTCAGGCTGAACCAAAAATAAAATGTTTCAGCAAATTAAAAAGTAGAAAAAAATTTGTTTCAGGTCAAACAAAATATTTCATTAGGCAAAATTGAAATGTTTCATTTTGATTCCAACTATTTTAAAACATTTTTATTGGGTTTTTTAAATAAAATTAAAGAAATTTTTGAAACAAAAAGGTGTTTTGAGCCAAAAATTTGAAACGTTTCATTTAGAAAAATGTCAATTTTTGTACTTTGTTTTTTCACCAAAACAATTTGGTGAAACCAACATAAATTCGGGAAACACGTCAGTGTTACTGAATCTGCATTTTTGCCAGTCCAGAATGACAAACTCCCTCCCCCACTCACTATGTAATAGATCCGAAGCTCTTGCAGGGATCTCCGTTCAATGGAAATGTTTCTCCGTATCCGGCAGTGGAAGGCTGCCTCCACTCGATGCTGTGGCTTACTCCTTGCCAACGGACCAGCAACCAGTGCCAAGATGTCATCTTCTCCTCTCTCCTCCGCTTCCTCACCTTCCTGGCAACCTTCACAGGCCTTCAGGCTCATCCTCTCCCGCTCCTTTACCACCTCTGAGAGAACGCCCCCCCCCAGAGAATCAGTTTTAGGAGTCACCAATTTACAAAGGGTTCTGAAAAATGACTGCTCCCATTGGAACCAATGGTAAAATGCCCCTTGATGTCAATGGAAGCAGGATGGACACTGGTGTGAATTCTAGTCAAAGCCCAGCAAGCTGGCACCATCCAGTGAGACTGAATCTCAATCATCCCTGCTTCATGTGCTTGATCCAGGCAAATGTTCTGTCCTGGTCATTTTAGGCAGCAGTGAGGTTTGTTGGCGAATGCTCCCATTTGTTTTCATTGCAGTCATGAAGCCAGGAAAGGAATATTAGTTCTCTGGGGTTCCCAATTATTGTTGCTGAGTTTGATTCTTAAGTGTTGAGCCAATAAACAGGGAACGAGTTTGTGACATACACAAATCTCACCACACAAGCACACACCTACCACTGCAGTCAGTGGGAGACTCTCCAAAGACTGCAACGGGGGTTGGATTGGGGCTTAAGTCACTTCCCTAACATCCACACACACACAGAGACAAATACGTACCTCATCACCAAGACGTGTGTTAGCAACTATTATTTGTGACATTAGACAAAGTCCACATTTGAAATGTGTAGTTAGTCATGTCCTGATGTGTGAGTGAAAAGCTGAAAGTGTAAAGCTGCTCCTGGGGCTGGAGTTTGAGTCTGGCTGAGCACCAGTGTAAGAGGGAGTGAGACACCACCCCAGACATACACCCCTGCTCCGGTTACCTGGTTCTTGTATCTGGGCAGGCAAGCTAAGCAGCACTGCATGCCAACTTACTGCCCCTGCACCCACCAAGGTGTCGACTCCCCACATGCACTAGACAGCAACCACTAAGGGCTTGTCTACACCGGCACTTTACAGAACTGCAACTTCCTCGCCCAGAGGTGTGAAAAGCCAGGCTGCCAGTGTAGACAGTGCACCAGTACTGGGAGTTGCACTCCCAGCGCTGGTAGCTACGCCTCTCATGGAGGTGGGTTTTTTTAGAGTGCTGGGAGAGCTGGGAGAGCTCTCTCCCTGCGCTTTGCCGTGACTACACAAGCCACGTTAAAAGTTCTGCCACGGCAGGACTTTAGCATTGCCAGTGTAGACTAGCCCTTATTCTCCTTAACCTCAACCCCAAGGGAGGGGAGATCAGATTCACAAGGTGACCTTGCCCCCCCTCTCTCCCCCCGGTAGGACATGAGCTCTTGTCCCTTCAGTGTCACGCTCCCTGCAGCATGAGCAGGGCCGGATTAAACTTTTGTGGGCCTGGTACCAAACATATTTGTGGGCCCCCATTGAGGCAGTGGAGCATGGCGTGGGGAGGTCAGTCTCCAGACTGAGGGACTAGCCAGGGGCATGGCATGGCAGGGGCGACCCCGCTCCACCCAGCCCAGTGTGAGGGCACTATTTACAAACCGGTAGTTGCCAGACGCGAAGTGGCCCTGTGATGCCAGCATGCCCCTTCCCCTTGGGGAGCGGGCCCATGCCACACCAGAGAGCCCCCTGCCCAACACCACCCCTACTCCCTATGACCAGAGCCCCCCCGGACCCACTATGCCCAATGCCCCCCAGACCTCCCCCAGAAATTCACAGTGCCCTGCACAACACCACCCCTGCCCAGCACTCCCCTGCCCACAGCCCCACCACAACTGCCAAGCACCCCCCACAGAACCCCCACTCCCTATTGCCCCAACACACACATCTTCCCCGCCCCCTCACAGCCCAGCACATCTTCCCACCCCCAGCCCCCTGCCAACTCCCCAGTGGCTGCACTCGTCAGTGAGCTGAGCCAGCTGCACAGCCAGGGTTGGTCCTGGGGCCGGGAATTGCTCTGTCCATTCAGGAGTGGTGCGATCAGCCAGGCCAAGGCCTCCCTCAAGATGCACTTGCCTGGAGGGGCCCAGCCAAGCCCCCCTACCTCTCTACCCCCTCCCCAGGCTGAGGCTGGCCAGGATTCTACACCAGTCCCAGGTGGCTCAGCCCCAAGGAGACAGGCGGGGCCACACAGGCTTGGAGCCAGAGGTGCACTGGGGTCCTGCCAGGGGGCAGAGAGGAGCAGGGGGTTGGGGCCAGGGGGTGTAGAGGAGTTTTCAGCCAGCCAGCAGGCAGGCTGAGAGGAGCAAGTGGTGGGCAGGGGGAGAAATGGGGTCTCGGGCCGCAGTGCAAGCAGAGCAGGCCAGGGCCCCTTCTGAGCGTGGGCCCAGTTCCATGGAGCCACTGGCACCATTGTAAACCTGGCACTGAGCCTGGGGCACCCACCTCCCCAGGCCAGCTGAAGTGCCTGTGGAGATGCACTCAGCACTGGCTTTCATACTGTACCTTTCAACAGCAGCCGGAAGTCCTTCAGCAATTCTTCTGGTGTCACCAGGGATCCGGGAGGCCCCTGAGGGCCTGGGGGACCTGGTGGGCCTGGCAGGCCAAACTGGAACCCCAGACAGAGCACAGAGCTGGTCAGTTCAATGTGTCTTTAAATTAGGGCACAGCTAGCCAGTGTAGATCCAGTAAGAATGGCTCCATCCCACAGTGCCAGTCCCTAGTCACCCACATCCTGGCACCCTTCCCCTTCCCTCTGTCCGAAAGGACACCTGCCTCTTCTGAACTCTGTGCTGGAATCTCAGCAGGATTAGCCGTCTCTGCTGGGTTGGTCACTGTTTTCAGCCCCACCCTCTGGGTCTGTTTTGGGCTCAGGAGTAGGGCTGTTACACCAGGGATGCCATGGGCTCAGACCAGGCTCTCTGGAGTGGGGGCACAGTAGGCTCAGGCCAGGGCTCTCGATGTGGGGGTGGGGTGCAGTGTGCCCAAGCTGAGCATCTCTGTGAGGGGTGGGGCGCAGTGGGCCCAGGCTGAATAGTTCTGTGAGGGGAGGGGCACAGTGGGCCCAGGCTGAGTAGTTCTGTGAGGGGAGGGGCACAGTGGGCCCAGCCTGAGGAGCTCTGTGAGGGGAGAAGCACAATGGGCCCAGGCTGAGTAGTTCTGTGAGGGGAGGGGCACAGTGGGCCCAGCCTGAGGAGCTCTGTGAGGGGAGAAGCACAATGGGCCCAGGCTGAGTAGTTCTGTGAGGGGAGGGGCACAGTGGGCCCAAGCTGAGCATCTCTGTGCGGGGAGGGGGCGCAGTGGGCCCAGGCTGAGTAGTTCTGTGAGGGTAGGGGCACAGTGGGCCCAAGCTGAGCATCTCTGTGCGGGGAGGGGGCGCAGTGGGCCCAGGCTGAGTAGTTCTGTGAGGGAAGGGGCACAGTGGGCCCAGCCTGAGGAGCTCTGTGAGGGGAGAAGCGCAATGGGCCCAGGCTGAGCATCTCTGTGAGGGGAGGGGCGCAGTGGGCCCAGGCTGAGTAGTTCTGTGAGGGGAGGAGCGCAATGGGCCCAGGCTAAGGAGCTCTATGGAGGGTGGGGCGCAGTGGGCCTGTGCCAGGGATGTCTTATGGGCAGCCCTGGGAAATCTGTGTGAGATGGGGCGCAGTGAGTCTGAGCCAGGGCTTCCTGGGGTGGGTTGTGCAGACACACCGGGGATGTGAATACATACCTTGAATTTTTTTGATTTGCCTTTGCCCTGTTTCTTGCTGTTCACCCCTTTGTTTGATTGTTTCATAAAGAGCATCCAGGCATCCCGGGGGTCGATGCTGCGAGACCGCTCAGGAAGGGGTTCCTGTCAGAAGATCAAAGAATAAGAACACAGAAAGTGACAGTAACCAGCTCTGTGGGCTGCTGAGTGGTTCAGGCACAGGTGGGTGCCATTCTTCAACGCTATTCCCATTACACAGCAGGGGCAGGAACTCACCAGCCGGAAACCAGCCTGTGCTTTGCTGGAGTGTTAATGAGTTTCTGACCACTGTGACTGCCTTATCTGCTGGCCAGGGAGCTGTGCCCTGCTCACAGCATGCAGGATATGGGGAACTGGGCTACCTGGGGTACCGCTGAAAAACTCTGGACTCAAAGAAACTCTGTAGAGGGCACTCTTCCCTCTGGGTGGGACTAACCCAGTACCCCAGCACCAGCAGCTGCAATGTTTCTGGGGCACATGTTTTGGAGGGGATGTAAATAGAGGTCATTATACAGCCCACAGTGCTTCTTGCAGCCATGAATATTAGCCCAGCGTGGGGGTGGGTTGTGGGCATATGAGCCGGTGGTGCTGGTGTTCTGGTGCATTACGGGGGGGGGGGGAGGTATGGTGCATTAGTGGAGCGGTTTGGTGAGTTACAGCTAACACAGGTCCACTTAAAACTTCACAAGAGCACAAATCAGCGTCTTGGTGAAGTGCTAAGTCTTTCCCGCAATTTCAGTTTGTCAGCTGTTGCCCTAGACTGTTGCTGTACCTGTTTCACCTAGCGGTAGCTGCATTTTAGTGGAAGGTAAGGTAATTCTTGTATGGGTCTATCTGCGCTGTAGTCAGAGGTGTGACTGCAAGCCATGTAGCCATACCCTAGCCAGTGTGAATAACAATAGCAGTGATGTTGTCTAAGCTCGGGGCTCTGGTATGTCCTTATGTGGCTAGCCCATGCTGCTGCCTGTGCTACTGCAGCTTCTGTGTTACTGGCGTTGACTAGATCCAGGCTAGCTCAGGTTTATCTGCACATACTGCAGTCACGCCTCTGACTGCACTGTAGCCATAACTAAGGTGACCAGATGTCCCAATATTTGGGGCTTTGTCTTATGTAGGCTCCTATTACCCCTACTCCCTGTCCCAATTTTTCACACTTGCTATCTGGTCACCCTAGCCATGACCCATGTGGCAAATAAGGCCAGAACCTCCCCTGGTGTAAAGTGGCACAGCTCTACTGAAGTCAGTGTCAACCCACACCAGCTCAGGGTCTGGCCCATGAAGTTTATAAAGCCCCTAGTGTAACACTACGTTAATTGTATCCAATTTGCAAATGAATTCCAATTCAACAGTCTCTCGCTGGAGTCTGGTTTTGAAGTTTTTTTGTTGTAATATCACAACTTTCATGTCTGTAATCGCGTGACCAGAGAGATTGAAGTGTTCTCCGACTGGTTTATGAATGTTATAATTCTTGACATCTGATTTGTGTCCATTTATTCTTTTACGTAGAGACTGTCCAGTTTGACCAATGTACATGGCAGAGGGGCATTGCTGGCACATGATGGCATATATCACATTGGTGGATGTGCAGGTGAACATGAAACAGACATGAAAGTTGCGATATTACAAAAAAAAAACTTCAAAACCAGATTTCAGCAAGAGACTGTTGAATTGGAATTCATTTGCAAATTGGATACAATTAACTTAGGCTTGAATAGAGACTGGGAGTGGCTAAGTCATTATGCAAGGTAACCTATTTCCCCTTGTTTTTTCCTACCTCCCCCCCTCCTCAGACGTTCTTGTTAAACCCTGGATTTGTGCTGGAAATGGTCCACCTCGATTATCATACACATTGTAAGGAGAGTGATCACTTTAGATAAGCTACTACCAACAGGAGTGTTGGGGACACTGGGGCATGGCCACTAGGTAACTCGAGGGGATGGAAGACCACAAGTGTTGATGAAGCCCCCTCACACTAGGCCCAAGTGTCCTTGGCCCCCCCCCCCGCCTGGAGGCACTCGCAGCAGCTCTGCGTACTAGGCCCAAGTGTCCTTGGCCCCCCCGCCTGGAGGCACACACAGCAGTTATGCTGAGGATCTGCAACAATATGCTGCAGAGTCAGACTGCCTGAAACTAAGCAAGGCCAAACAGGGCAGATATGGAAGAACAATGCTGAATAAAGCAGCTTTATGTATAGTTTAACAAATGATACAGAGAACCAGGAGGATTTAATGGGCATGACCATGACATGACCATGACACAAATCTTAGAGACTGCAAACCGAGCTTATAGGCTGAGAGAGACAGAGAAGGAGAGAAAGCAAGTGAGATTGATGGTAACAGCGGTACAGGCCGGCACTAAGAGAAGTGGCCGGGGTGGAAGGGGCCATGGACGCGACCGTCCGGGCCCTCAGGAGAGACGACTGGGTCGCAACCAGTGTGCCCTGTGTCGACAGGAGGGACACTGGAAAAATGAGTGCCCAAAGAGAAAAGAAAAGGGGGGTGCCCCTATGATGGTGATGGCGGAGCAGGAATAGGGGTGTCAGGGGAGACGGACCACCCTACCCCCGGAACCCCAAGTAAAGATGCGGGTGGGAAGCTCAGAAATAGATTTTTTAGTGGACTCTGGAGCGGCCCGAACTGCCGTAAATCAGCCTCTTCAGTTGCCAGTAGCAGATTCCCTTACTGTGGTGGGAGCCACAGGCAAGGACACTAAGTGCCCAGTGTACGCCCCAGCGGAATGCGCTTTGGGAAATAGGACTATATCCCACAAGCTGGTATACCTCCCTGAGTGTCCAACACCTCTGCTGGGACAGGATCTACTTTGTCGCCTCGGTGCCACCCTGCATTTTACTGAGGATGAAATAACCCTTACCTTACCCCCTGAGAATGCATGGATCATGACCCTTGCAGTTGAGCCCTCAGCCATGCAAACCCCAGAATGGAGCCCGTGGGAAGACCAGGTGTACCCCCTCGTGTGGGCATCAGGGATTCCAGGAAAGGCCACCCACCAGACCCCCATTACTATTCAGCTCATACCAGGGAAAGGCCCAGTGCAAATAAAACAGTATCCAATCAAGAGGGAAGCCAGAGAAGGTTTACGGGAAACTATAGATCGATTCCTAAATGTATGGTATTCTCCGGGAATGTCAGTCAGCCTGGAACACTCCCATTCTATCCGTACAGAAGCCTGATGGCCCGTATCGGCTGGTACAGGACCTAAGGGCAGTCAATGAACGAGTTAAGGCTCTGCACCCTCTTGTCCCTAACCCGTATACCTTATTGGCTTCTATAGGGGGACAGTATACCCATTTTTCAGTCCTTGATCTGAAAGATGCTTTCTTTACCATCCCAGTTGCCACCCCGTCACAGGAGATCTTCTCCTTCGAGTGGGAGGACCGAAAAAGGGTTAAAAAGCAACTTTCCTGGACAGTGTTGGCCCAGGGGTTTAAAAACTCCCCCACCTCTTTGGCCAGGCTCTGGCCAGGGACCTAGAGGAGTGGGATAATGAGGAGGCCCTCCTTCTGCAGTATGTAGATAATTTGTTAATTGCCACTGTGGGCCAAACACCCTGCCTTAAAGCCACCGTGAGCCTCCGGAATTTTATTGGACTCTGGGGATATCGGGTAGCACGGAGTAAGGCTCAAATTGCCCTCCCAGAGGTATGGTACCTCGGGTTTCACATACAGCAAGGGGAGCATCAGCTTTCAAGCGAAAGAAAGGAAGCTATATGCCAAGTTCCTACCCCAAGTAACCGTAAGCGGCTCAGGGCATTTCTGGGTATGGCAGGCTTTTGGAGGATATGGATCCCAGAGTTTGGACTGTGGGCTAAACCCCTGTACGACTGTGTAAAAGGAGCAGATCATGACCCCTTCTATTGGACCCCAGAGGCTGACAGGGCATTTAAAATCCTGAAAAGAAAATTGATGGAAGCCCCGGCTCTGGGCCTGCCGGATCTCTCTAAGCCGCTTCAGTTGTATGTACATGAACGAAGGGGATTGGCCCTAGGAGTGCTCACACAGCTGTTAGGAGCATGGATTGGATCAGGTTGCAAAGGCTTGGCCTGCATGTTTACCGGCGGTCGGCGGTCGGTCGCAGCTACTGCCCTAGTGCTTGAGGAAGCTGAGAAGCTAACATTGGGAGGGGTTATGCAAATCTATACTCCCCATATGGTCCGAGCCTTATTGGATGCAAAGGGAGGGCTTTGGCTCACCCAGGCTCGGATTGCTCAGTACCAGGCTAAGCTGTTAGAGAACTCTGAAGTCACCCTACAACCTTGCCCCTCCCTTAACCCAGCCACTCTCTTGCCAGAAACAGAGGAACAGAAACATGACTGTTTAGAGATCATAGATGTCCAGTACTCCAGCCGTCCGGATTTAAAGGATGTACCCCTCCCAATTGCAGATTATGAGTGGTACACTGATGGTAGCAGTACTGTAATAGATGGGCAAAGGAGGAAGGGTTATGCTGTTGTGACCCTCCATGACACTGTGGAAGCTGAAGGTTTGCCTGCTGGGACCTCTGCCCAGCTTGCCGAACTAATAGCCCTGACCCGTGCACTTGAACTGTCAAAAGGAAAGCGGGTCAACATTTTTACTGATTCAAAATATGCTTTTGGTGTGCTGCATGCTCATGCTGACCTATGGAAGCAAAGGGGAATGCTGACAGCCCAAGGCTTCCCAGTCAAGTACGGGCCCCAAATCCTCCTGCTCCTAGAAGCCGTACAACTTCCCTTGGAAGAGGTGGTGGTACACTGTAAAGCCCATCAAAGGGAGGATCAAGATGTGGCCAGAGGTAATGCCTGGGCAGATAGAGAGGCTAAGCATGCTGCCACCCTGCCATCCCCTCAGACTGAGAACGCCCATATGCATGCCCTTATCCCATCAGTAGGGGAGCTTCCACCCCTCAGTACTCTGGGGAGGAGAGACAGCTAACTGACAAACTCGGTCTCCGGGAAAAGGAGAGATGGCTCCATTCCCCAGAAGGGAAGGTCCTCTTACCAAAGGGCCTAATCCGGCCAGTGCTGCAGAAACTACATCAAACCACTCATGCTGGCAGGGAAGCACTTATCCAACTAATGGGAAAATACTTTATCACTTCCGGACTCCA